TAATTTAATATTTCTATGCTCTATACCAAGGAACATACCTTTTCTTTCACTTCATTTCGCTAAAGGTTCTCCTTCGTAAGAAGCAATAAGGGCGAAACATAATATTCGAGCAATGTTTAAGTACCGAAAATGAATGTTCCACAATAATTAAGAATTTCTTTCGACGCTAGAAATATTTCTAATTTATGATGTGAAACTACAAGTAAAGTTTAATTTTTGTGCTGCTTCTTATTGCTCCTTATGTTTCATGCTTTAAATAGTTACAATAGAATTTTAAAGAATTTAGTAAGTAAGGGTGTGTACAGCAAGTCAATGTTACTGTCATTTACAGAAATGAAAATTAATTAAAGTCTCGTTGGTTCTTGCCTTTTTAACAAATTATCCATACATGCGAAATGACTTTATTTCCCCTCTGTTGTCTACAAGAAGCTTTAAAGAATGGAGATAATTGCTGTAAAAGATGATTTTGCTAGAGTGTAAATAGGAATTGCTACTGGTTTGGGGAGGAAATATCTGAATTAAAAGTTATTTATGAGATTGTTCTGATTTAAATTATGGTGATTATTAATCAAACTCTTACTCTTTCGGTTATTAAAATGTTGTTGAGTTTAGGTGGGATTCGAACCTAGTCACTTAGACATCAACTATCAGCTATCAAATGGATGTTCTTAACAACTAATTCCTCAATGGATTATTCTCATTTAGATTACTAATCATTAATAATCAACCTGTATTATTATAAAGTCATTTTAAAGCAAATCTAGCACTGCTTGATCGATTCCACATGAACTGAATATAAACTTTATACTTATTTAAATTTTAAGAATTTTTTGACTAAAATTAAACAAAATTGTTGAACTTAATTTACTAAAATGTACCAACTTCAACCTGAGAAACAGAATAAAATCATTAACAAGCACTCAACTTCCCCACCTCTCATAATTCCATCACCTAATAATAAATTTAATTAGAAAAAACTTCTCAGTATTCAACAAAACAATTCACGTGTCCAAATAGGTGCGCAAAACATAATTAAAAAATTTTTACATCGTAAAAGTTCAATTTTCATTTAAGACTATTGGAAGAAATTTTACAGCTGTAAACAGACCCTCAAAATTATTATGAATTGTTCCTCAAAAAGTAAATGAGTGAAAAACTTAAATTTATGAGTTTGAAGTAATTATTATGTTTAAATCCTTAACACCAACAAAATGAAAATTTCTTCCCATGAAAACAGTCCTTAAAATGTTTTCCAGAAAAAAATGTTTCCATCATCGCAAATAATAACAGACTCTATGCTGTATAATTACACAGTTTATGTTCAAAATAACAATTTAAGTTCCTTGCACAATAAACACAACAAATTTTCCCTCATCTCTATTAATTAAAATTATTACAAACCATGACACAGAACACAGTGTATATGCAGCACTAACACATCACAAAAGAGCTGAAAGATCAAAATGAGCTGTAAAATGTGTACGATAAACATGCAAACAATACTTTCCTTCCTTCCAACTTACAATGTTCTCAGTTCTTTTTATCTTGTTTTCTCGCTCTCGTGTGCATGTGTCAGAATGAAAGGTAATTTAATAGAAACATCGTTACGGTGGCTGAACAAAAGGATGGGATCAATTAAGTGCTCATTTCTTGTTTTAGGTTGTTGACCATATTTTATGGAAGATTTGAAAATTGTTTAAATTCAGCTTGCTGTTGAGGTGCTGTTTGGAAGGCTGCAACGATGAATTTTAATTGGAATTTACTTTAATTAGCCATTGTGCTGCGTTAATTGTTGATTTAAGGCCTGAAATAACAGCGAGATTTGATATCTTGCGCAAAAAATTATAAATTTTTGAATTTCGCTTAATAACAACCTATAAAGAATTATCAAAATAAAATAAATTATGAACGTTCAGGGGGGGGGGGGGGGGGGGTTGTTAGTTGTAACATATTGTAAGAAGGGGGGGAGGAGAAGTGAAAAAAGTCGTTCTTTTGCGTAATGTAATAAGTGAACGGCCCCTTAACAAATTTGATTCTGTTGACAATGCTTGCTTCAAAACCTTACAAATCTTCATCTGCATCTCTCCAAAACAAAGCAAATGTTTTCGCATCATTAATTCAAACTCTAAAAATTTGTTAAAATCATAAATCACAACAGATTCAATCTAATAATACAATTAATTAATTCAAAGATTAATTAGAGCAGAAACAAACTTCAAATCTCCAAAAGATCCAAAACTATTCAAATAATCCCATCCAATTAAATAAATTGGAGATTTTCTTCTAAACAACATGTCAATAAGAAGAAATTCAGCAATTTATTTTCTTAAGCATCTCACAAAACTTCTAAAGATTGATGGAACCTGCTAAAGTCCGCAAAAATAAAGCAGAAGAAAAGCCAATTTGTGGCACAAATCTCAAATGATGCGAAAAATTATTTTTATATCTTCGGTTAGGGACGATAATGAAGGCAAATTTATTGAGATTTGACATTCTTCGATTTGATATGAAAATTGTTTTTCAGACTGACAGCAGCCCCTCGGCTAAAATTTTCTGATTCCTTAGTCTATAAAGCATTCCATCTCGTCTCGAGTCGTTCATTATTATTGTTTTGTTGTTTTTCGATGCAATAAAAAAAAAGTTTTTGAATTTCTTCTTTATTCATCCTGGTCTGCAGCACTTGTGGCGATGGATGAACTGCAAAAAAGAGAGAATCCTGCATAATTTCCCATTTTTTATATCTTACAACAAAGTCATTAAAATTATTCAGTCCTCAATATTTATGTGCATTTTGCTGTTGCCTGATGTTTTCTATTTTTTTATGGACAACCGCAATGTTGTGTCATTCATTGTGCCCCTTACAGCGAGAATAAATTGAAGCAAATGAATCTAATTTTTTATGCTTGGAGGAGCAGACAAAAGTGGCTTTTTGTAGTAAAAGTGTAAAATTTATTGTCAATGCGATAGTTTTTATGATGATAATTATTTTGTTTTTCGAACACAATAAGTTGCCTGCGAGGGATTGAGTGAGAAATCGGATGGATATCTGCTACTGAAGTGTGTTTTGGCAATAGAACAAAGTGTATGTTGCATTTTTGAATTCTTTTTAAAAAGTATCAATGATATTAAGAATCGAACTTATGTCTTAAAATAGAATCGAACTTAGATTCTTACTGATCTTCGACCTGCGGCCATCTATAATTGCGAATTCGACTATATATGTTTCGAGACATCAGAAGCTTCTCTGCAATGACATCAGTCTTGGGAGAAGGAAGGTAAGGTGAAGGTGACCCTGAATGAATGAAAAATTAAATCAGAAACGACCTTGATCAAGTTACTATTGTTAAAGTACAATATTACCATACCTAACCTCACTAATACTTACTCAAAAATATCAGGTATACACCTCAATTCACTCAGCACAAAAACAACATTCCAATCCCTAAATCACAATCATATTCACACCACCTCCATAAAAGAAAATGAACTCAATACAAAAATAATAGAAAATTTCCATGAAAATTACAAATACCAATTCACAATAAGCACAAAAGTAGAAATCATTTCGACACTCATTCTGTAATCATCATTTTTTTGCATTTTTATTACAAAATTTCCTCCTTCATGTGTTTGAGTTTTGTTTAGCACAACAAAAAAAAATTTCTTTTCATTTTCCCAAATGAGAATTCGGAGAATTAAAATTTGCACAACAATATAAGAGATGTGGAACAAACATACATGCATAATGTGAATAGGGAGGAAAAACTTTTTGATACTCTGTGGTTTCTTGTCTAAAACTCGTATTATTGCTTATCGATTTTATTTTATTTTTCTGAAATGTTGCAAAAAAATTTCTGGGTAAGGAACTGTAATTGAAGATGGGGGAAAGCAGAGAATGATGAGATTTCAAACATTTTCAGTTGTCGTAACTTTTCACATTAGCACAAGCTCATTACACATGTTTTTTGATTACAGATGGAACAATGAGCACATTGATGAGTTGTAAAATGGAATTAACGTAGTTTTGCACAATATCTTTGCATAGAAAATTGAGGATTTCTTGTATTCATATGAATATTATGTAGGATTAAGCTTCTAATCTCCAAATCTAGGTTTCGATTAAATTCAGGTTCTCGTTTCAATCTTCAGTGGATTTAATCTTTAAATCTTTTCAGACAATATTTCATTAAAAGATAATCTTGTAGCTCTCGTTCCTATTTCTCTCGCTACACTTCAAGTTCCTGATCCGTTCCTTAATCCAACGTTGCCCAAATGCCTCCAATTAGGGCTTGATCTCGGAAATTAAGCAGTCAAAGTATCTAAACTTCTGGAAAAAAAAACAATTTTGGAAATTGCTGGATTCGAACCGACGACTCTTGAGTTTTCATAACAAATTTGAGATAAGCGCTTTACCTTTTCGGCCAGGAAGACACTAAAGTGATTAACTGCATTTCTTAAATATTCTTATCATTAGGATCAAATCAAACCAAACAATCAATATCTAAGTCTTCCCGGTGTACTAGGTATCAAAATAAAGTACCAATAGGTTTTAAATTCTAGATTCGTTGATTTTTATTATTATTTATTTATCGACGTTACCGTCCGGAAGCAATTGAATCGCAGTGCCTCCAGCTGAAAGGCTGGGCCCTTCACACATTTTTATTACCGTCCGGAAGAATTCGTATTTGAACATTTTTACTTTCGTAGATGCGTAGATTAACATAACATGTACTTATTATCTGACAAACAATTGATTTGCTTTTTAATTGCAACGTAATTTTTAATACAAAGTATCAATCGATGTTAATAGAAATTAATTATCTTTTAACAAACAAATTTAATTGAGAACTTTCAGAGTAATCTTACATCTAGCTTTGACTTCATTTCATATGGCAAGCTAGGAAGGTCAAAAATCATCAATAAAGCAAAGTTATTTTTTTTTTAATAGAAGTGATCGGCAGCTCTTGCATGTGACATTATAAAAATGTAATATTTCATAAATGAATCGATGCAATTGCTGTGCCTTAAAGGCATCAACATTCACTAAGTGTGCTCGTGGAATTGTTTTTTGTGTGTCTATAGTTGGCTTACTTTATTATGTAAATGAATGTTACAAAAAGCTTAAAGTTACTCCAGAAGTGTTAGTGAATGAAAAAATAGTCAATAGCTGGTCAGTTCCGTTTCCTGCTGTCACAGTTTGTGCTCCATTGATAGCTAAAAGTGAAATTTTAAACTTCACCAAATGTCAAGAAGAGTTGACACATGGCAGGGATCTCAATGATGATGTAATGGAGAAATTAGTGGCATATCAGCATGTATGTCCAGAGCCATTTTACCTGGCGTCACTAAGGAATAAATATGTAGAAAGTGGAAAAGACCATGGAGTCATATTGAAACGTATATCATCAAAAATTAACGATGTCCTTAATATTTGTGCCGTTGATGACTTTGTAGGCTGTAAGCATATCTATATCCGGTCACTTACAGATGCTGGATTCTGCTACAGCTTCAACATGCTTGGATATCAGTCAATATTCAATAATGGAATTGTCAAAGATTTTGACGTTTATAAACGAACGAAAATTGTAAAAACATTCGATCCAAATGTAGTTCCTGAATTTTATGATGACGTTAATAATCCAGAGCCCTCATCATGGTCACTTCAAAAGGGATATCCAGTAAATGACAATTCCTCTCATCCAGTACCAGCAGTCACAGGACGAGCATTAATAGCTCAATTAAAAATTAGAAGAGATGAAAATCCCAACTTCTGTAGAGACAGGTCCAGCTTATACTTTGTATTCCTGCATTTACCGAATGAAGTTGCAACTCGGATGCATCAAAATCACTTCTTTAAATTGAATACAGTTAATGTACTTCAAATCTCGGCTGAAATAAAGGAAAATGATAAATCATTGAGGAGCTTTAGCAAACAGGAACGTGCCTGCTTTTTTGAGGGCGAAAGAAGGTTAAAGTTCTTCAAATCCTACACAAAAATCAACTGCGAAAATGAATGTTTGATCAATTTCACACGAAGGCAATGTGGATGTGTACGACCTACAATGCCAAGGACAAAAGACATGAATGTCTGTAAACTTAAGGATATCCCTTGCTATCAAGCAATTGCAAAAAGTTGGCCAATGAGTTACTTCAAAAGCACTGAGCGACATCCAAAATATACGAATTTTTTTTGTGGCTGCATGCCTTTATGTACACAAATTAAATACACAATCATTGATAAAGTCACTATCTCAACAGCGCAACAGAAGTAAGAATTTTCACATTTTTTTCAATTTTAATACTTATTAATTTCCTATCAATTAAGCGATGGCCATGATTATTCAACGTTGACGATCAAATTCGATGAAGCTCAAATCGTAAAAAGAACCAACTATGTCACTTACAAGCTACAAAATTTTATGTCTGACGTCGGTGGATTGGTTGGATTTTTCTTAGGGTTTTCTATGCTTTCTCTTTTTGAATCAGCATTGAAATTATTTTCCCTTTTAAAGGTCGTACTTGATCGTTTGGTATCAAAACAAACAGAGCAGGAAGTAACAACAGAGAATAAGAATGAAGTTCAATCCTTGAACAATGTTGTTTGGACAGAGGATGAGACAAATGTTAGTGAAAGAAAGGAACAGATTTTTATCATACCTAAAAGGCCAAGTACACCGTTGGTAGTTGAGGATTTGGAGATGTAGAACCACTTTGCTGTGTTATTGTGACTTAATCCACATTGTGATCTTACACTTAATAGTTTTGATGCAATAAATGTTTTTAAAATTATACAAATTTACTTATTGATTGAAGTTATTATACTTACTTACTTCCTTGGTTGGGGCGCACGAAGCTCCATTGTCGCGCTTAGAGATCGTCTGAAGACAGCTCTATCCTTAGAAACCTTCTGCCAGTTCGGGATATTAAGGACTCTAGCGTCCTTTTCAACACATCCAACACACGAGATCTTCGTTCTTCCTCATGATCTCTTGTCATCCATAAAGTCTGCTACTGTCTTTTTTAGTACTGGGGTGAGCGCCTGAATACATGTCCAGTCCATCTCAAGCGATTTACACGGAGAACTGTAGCAATATCAGCTTCCTGAAATAAATGATATAACTCAGCATTATGTCGACTTCGATACTCTTCTCCTTCCTTCACAGGACCATAAATCGCTCGCAGTATTCGTCTTTCGAAGACACCAAGTGCTTCCTCATCCACTTGTGTTGAATTCCAGGTTTCCGAGCCAAAGAAGGTAATAACTCGGATAAGCGTTTTATATAACGTGACCTTAGTTCCTCTGGACAGACTCTTGGACGTAAGAAGGTGTTTTAAGCTATAGAAAGCTCCATATGCCGAGTGGATCCGCTTGCGTGCTTCCATTGTTACATCTGATGAGGTGTTAACAAATGATCCTTGAAATTTTCAATCACCTCGAATCGCTTATCATTGATGCTTAAATATTATACTAACCTTCAAAAACGCCCCCAAAAGTAATGAACGTCCACGATAAATTTTCATAAATTGTTAAATAAACTTTATTTTAATTATAAGCAATTCAATTGTTATTTAACTTCATTCATATAGCATAGCTTCATTGATTGTCGATCATTGAATAAATCAGACATCAATGTTTATTGCCTGTGCTTTATAAAAGTGCAAAAGGCAATGATGAGCGGAATTACATTTGATAGACTTTCAAAGGGAATCGATGAAGAAATCATTTGGCAATGAGACATTGCAATTGTTGTACTTTAAGGACAACTTCATCACTAATCATAAAGTGTGTACGTGGAATTGTATTATGTGTGTCAATTTTTGGCTTGGTATTTTATGTAAATGAGTGCTATAAAAAGCTTAGAATCACACCAGAAGTTTTAGTTAATGAGAAAATAGTCAATAGTAGGACAGTTCCGTTCCCAGCAGTTACATTTTGTGCTCCATTGATAGTGAAAAGTATGACTTTAAATTTAACAAAGTGTCGGCAAACGTTAGAAAATGGCGAAACTTTAAATAATGACGATTTGAAAAAATTGGTATCGTTGCTTCATATATGTCCTGAACATTTCTTTGTATCGTCACTGAATTTATTCATAATTGTTATAACAAGTATTCCCTAGATTTTGAGAATCATGGTGACATAATCAACAACATATCATTAAAAATGGATGAGATACTTAGCGTTTGTGCCGTTGATGACTTTTTTGGTTGTGAACGTATTTACATTCGATCACTTTCTGATTGGGGATATTGCTTTAGCTTTAACATGATTGGCTATGACTCAATATTTAACGATGGTATAATTGAGGACTTTGACGTCTATAAACGAACGAAGATTACAAAATCAATTGATCCAAACGTTCCTCCTGAATACCATGATGATGTTAATAGTCCAGTGCCTTCATCTTGGACACCTGAGCAAGGATATATAATTAATAATAGTTCTACATATCCATTGCCAGCATCAAAGGGACGAGCTTTGATGACTCAAATAAAAATTAGAAATATTGACATGCCTAGTCGTTGTCTATCTAGAAGCAGCTTGCTGTTCATGTTCCTTCATCTACCGAATGAATTACCAACTATACTGCTTAAAAGTTACCACTTTAAGTTAAACACAAATAATCTGCTTCAAATTTCAGCAGAACTAAAACAAAATGACAAGACACTGAAGACCTTTGATATTCAGGAACGCGGGTGCTTCTTTGATGGCGAACGAAACCTTAAATTTTTTAAATCCTACACAAAAGTCAATTGCGAAAATGAGTGCATGATAAACTTCACTCAACAACAATGTGGATGCGTTAGACTGTCAATGCCAAGAATAAAGGATATGGATGTTTGCAAGTTTAAAGATATCATGTGTTATCAAACAATCGTACATACATGGCCGAGCATTTATTTCAAAAGTTCAGAGCATCATGAAAAGTTGCCGGATTTTCCATGCGACTGTATGCCTTTGTGTACTCAAATAAAATACACAGTTGTGGACAAAGCCACTCTCAACTCGAGACAGCTTAAGTAAATTTCAGGGGGATAACAACTTGGTGAGGTTTCATTTTTCGCACCAAGTAGTTTTCCCCCTTGATCATTATCAATTTCAAAATCTTTATTTTTGATTTGCCTTTATTTTAATTTTACAGTGATGGAAATACATACGCAGCAGTGTCGATTAAATTCGATGAATCACAAATTGTTAAAAGAACCAACTACGTCACTTATAAACTACAGAACTTTGTGGCTGATATTGGTGGATTGATTGGACTGTTTCTTGGTTTCTCGCTGCTTTCATTATTTGACACATTTTTGAAGATTTGTTCATGCTTAAAAGCAATATTTGAGCGGTTGGAATTAAAAGAGAGAGTTCAGGAAGCAACATTAGAGGATAATACAGAAGACAGAAATGAAGTTCGAACATTAAACAACTTCAATTGGATTGAGGATGAGACAAATGTCATTCAAAAAAAGGAAGTGATTTTTACAATACCAGAGCGACCAAGCACGCCATTGGTGATCGAGGATTTGGAGCTGTAGAATATTTGTAGTGATCAGTTGAAGCAGTTAACTTCTTTAGGTTGTGGATACACATTTCATTTGGATTTGGAACAATAAATGTTCTTACATAGCTAAAGCCTTTGATTTTAAACTCTACTAAGTCATTAGCTTCAAGTGGTGTGCATAAACATCACTTTAAAAAAAACTAATAAATATTCATCGCCTATAAAAATGTTTATAGGCACTATGAAGTAATATCATTTTAAAATAGATGCCTGGGGCATGATATGCCTCAGTTTGGGTTACCGACATTTGCCCACTGACACTTGCCCGCTTTACGTATGCACACTGACATATATACGAGAGGGGTAGAGTTCAAGTGGGCAAAAGTACCAGTTGGGAAATGTCAGTAGACATATGGAAAGTAGACATATGTAAAGTGGGCAAAAGACAGTGGACAAATGTCTCAAACCCCTTAGATTTGATGTTGATTATTAAGTAAATTCATATAGTTTTTAAAAAACAATATTTAATGGATGTCATTTAAAACCAACCCTAAATCGAGTCAATTCAATCTTCATCCACATTTTACTGCCAATCTGTATAGAAACTAGAAAGTTTTCTCACTTCAAGCAGTCAGTTCTAGTTAAAAATGAATGCTTGCAGATCTTTTATTCAAAAGTTAAGGACATTGCCAATTACTAATTACGCTCGTGGATTAGTTGTATGTTTTTCAGTTTCCAGCTTAATTTTCTATGGAAATGAGTGTTATGTAAAGTTGAAAGTCATACCAGAAGTTCTAGTAAATGAAAAACTAGTCAATAGCTGGACAATTCCATTTCCTGCAGTTACAATATGTGCACCATTGTTGGCAAGAAGTGAAAAGTTGAACTTAACAAAGTGTCAAGAAAAATTGGAACGTCTTGAAAGTCTGGATGAAAGTGATGTGATTAAATTGATGGCATATGCACACATATGTCCAATAAAAAGTGTAGTTTCAATACTGGCAAACGAAAGTCCTGAATCGGATGTAGATCAAAGTGATGTTTTGGATGAAATGTCATTGAAAATTGATGACTTAATTATCTGTCCAGTCAGCAATGTGATTTCATGCGAGAACATTTACATTCGGTCATTAACTGATTATGGTTATTGCTTTACTTTCAATATGGTTGGATACCAAGAAGTATTTAATGAAGGAATCAGCAAAAGTTTCGATGGCTACAAGCGCACCAAAATCCTTAAATCATTTGATGATCCTAACAATTTAAGTTTTCATGATGATGTGAACATCTCAACTGATTCAAGTTGGACACTTGAGCAAGGATATCCATTAAATGTTAATTTTCCAGATCCTTTGCCAGCAACAAGAGGACAATCTTTAAAGACTCAATTGAAAATTCACAAAAATGACACCGCAAACTTTTGTCAAGCTAGAAGCAACATGATAATTTTGTGCCTACATCTCCCAAATGAAATACCAACTGCAATCCATTTAAATCATTTTTATGAATTGGACAAGATTAATGCGCTTAAAATTTCAGCAGAAATAAAGCAAAATGATGAAACCTTAAAACGTTTTGATCTTAAGGAACGTGGATGCTACTTTAATGGAGAAATGAGCTTGAAGTTCTTCAAATCCTACACAAAAATCAACTGCGAATATGAATGCTTGATTAATTTCACATACGAGCAATGTGGCTGCGTTAAACTGTCAATGCCAAGATCAGAAGACATGCGAGTATGCAAAGTAAATGATATCTTATGTTTTTCACAAGTTGACTATTCCTGGCCGAGCAATTTCTTTAAAAATCCTAAACGACACACAAATATACAAGACTTTCCATGCGGCTGCATGCCATCGTGCACACAAATTAATTATAAAATTGTTGGTGGAGTTTCTGTTAAAACTGGACAAACTAGGTATGACTTTTTGTTTGGGAGTCGTTTATAAATTATGTCTAATTTTTATTAATATTTACTGTCACCGTGTGGCACTTCCATAAGATTCAAATTTAAATCAGAAGAAGCCATCTCAATCAAATTAGATTGACGTCATTTATGAACGACCCCATACATCAATTCCTATCCTACAAAATGTTTCATTTTGTTTTAGTTCCGAATATCAATATTCAGCAATATCAATTGAGTTTGATGAAGCTCAAATCATTAAAAGAACAAACTATGTCACTTATAAGCCACAAAACTTTGTAGCTGATATTGGTGGTTTGGTAGGCTTGTTCTTAGGCTTTTCTTTGTTATCTTTGTATGAGTTGTTCTTAAGAATTTGCTCTTTTTTGAAAAGAATTATAGACGAATGGATACACAGACTAGATGGTGACTATGATGATACATTAACTGAAGTTACTTCTGTTCAGGATAACAGATGTCAAATTATTAGAGAAGCCCAGCAGAATCGCAGTGTTTTTAATATATCTGATCAAACACATACGCCTCTTGAGCTTGGAGACGTAGAAGATTATTAAATTAACGGGTTAGGAATTAGCTTATTAATTAGGTTGGTTGACACTTTCAGACTGTCAACCTAACGACAACCTTCCCATTAGATCAAAACTCTTTCTTATCTTTATTAAACTAGCGCTAGTCAGAAACAATCCCGATCGGTGCTAAATGAGAGGTTATGCAAACTATTGTATAATTGCAGCTGTTTGTGATATGCTGTATCTTCTTGGCATCCACCAAGTATTAGAATCTGATCAAACTTAAGTTGAAATCAATGATGAAGCTGCTGTTTGGTTTTAAGTTTTCTATCCACTTGACTGTATGTGCAGATCGGGAAGTTTGCAGCTATTATTACTATATTATCGCAAATCAGTTTTCATTACTTGCCAGTAAATCCTATTTGAGCTATTACATAAACTAGCAATTAAGGATAAAAATCACAAATGGACAATAGTCAAGAACTGTCATTAATTTCAATTGCAAAGTCACAAACATTTTTAATTCAATTTCACAAATTTTTGTATCGTTGACATGTGAACTTTTAATACTTCAACTACTTGACGATAAAAACCTAATGTGCCGTTATAATTGGGCTATTGTAAAACAAAAGCTGACACTCAACATCCCACTTTTACGTGGAATTGTATTATTGTCATCGATATTTGGCTTGATCTTTTACGTCAACGAGTGCTACATAAAGTTACAAATCAAGCCAGAAGTTTTGGTAAATGAGGAACTCATAAACAGTCGATCGGTTCCTTTTCCTGCTGTAACAATTTGTGTCCCTTTGATTGCAAAAAGTGAATCGTTAAATTTGACAAAAATCCGTAAGGATATCCAACATAGCAAACCTCCAAATGATGAAGATTTAAGCAAACTCCTTGCACTATCTCATGTCTGCATCGACAACTTTAATGATTTATCATCAGTGTCTGGAAATAAAACACGGGATATAGATGTTTCAGCTATTCTTAATCAAATTTCACCTAAATTTGATGATGTTTTCAGCGATTGTTCAATTGATGACCCACAAAAGTGTGAGCATGTGTTTACTCAATCACTTACTGACTATGGCTACTGCTACAGCTTTAACATGCAAGGATATCACTCGATATTTAATGATGGCATCAGTAAGGATTTTGATTCCTATAAACAAAAAAGCATTTTAAAGTCCTTCAATCCAAAAGCTGAAATAGTGTTTCATGATGACGAAAATGATCCAGAACCTTCATATTGGTCACTTGAAAGGGGATATAATGCTGATGATTGCTTTGTAAAACCAGTAAGAGCTAAAAGAGGCCGAGCAATTACTGCAGAATTAAAGATGAAATTGTCTGATATTCATAATCTTTGCACAAGTAGAGGTTCCATGTTCATTGTATTTGTGCATCTACCTAATGAACTGCCAACAATCATGCATTCTGAGAAGCTGTTCAAGCTAACAACAGCAAACTTACTCAAAATTACTGCAAAAGTTAAGCAAAATGATGTGACATTAAAGAACTTCCGGCTAGAGAAACGTGGATGCTACTTTGAAGGAGAACAGAGCCTTAAATTCTTCAGATCGTACACAAAGATCAACTGTGAGTACGAATGTCTGATCAATTTTACATACATGCAATGTAACTGTGTCAAAGTGTCAATGCCGAGAACTGACAGCATGAAAGTATGCAACTATGAAGACATAGATTGTTACCAGACAATTGCAAAATCTTGGCCCAATGTCTACTTTACACATTATAAGCATCAAGAAGATTTTTCTGATTTTCCATGCCATTGCATGCCACTTTGCACGCAGATTAAGTATGTCATTACTGATAAAACTTCTGTTCAGGAGAGGAATCTTAAGTATGGACATGAAAAATAATTTTTGAGGTTATTTTGAAATTTTTTTTAAATCCTTTTTCAGTGATGGATATGTCTACTCAACAATATCAATCTGGTTTGAAGATTCTCAAATCTTAAGAAGAACGAACTATGTCACTTATAAGCTACAAAACTTTATGTCTGATATTGGTGGTTTAATCGGTTTGTTCTTAGGATTCTCTTTGTTGTCTTTGTTTGAGTTGATTTTAAGGATTTGCACATTCTTGACAAGAGTTATTGATGGATTGAGATGCAGAATTAAGTTAAAATCTGAGAATCCTAGTAGTGATGACAACTTAACTGAAGTTATTTCTGTTAAGGAATTCACATTGATTGGAAGTGGGTCTGGTGGAATTGATCAGAATGAAAGTATTTTCATTTTACCAGGTCATGTAAATTCATCTTTGGAGATTGAAGATATAGAAGATTACTAATCTTCTGAATCCACTTGGCTAAGCATTTCATGGCTTCTGTTGATTGAAATGGTTTAAATAATCAATATTGACGCACTTAAAAATGTGGATTTTATAGCTTGAATTTATTAATAATTTATAAAAAATTGAAATTGTCCATCAAATCCAAAAAACCAGTTTCAAACTTGAACTTTTATGGCTATATATTTTTACACGCATAATCAATTGCATGTTGACATTGAACATGAAAGAAGGCATTGAATCGAGTGAAGGTTCAATACACAAAATGTCAAAATCAATCAGAATCATCAAAGCTCTTGTTTATTGTGCATTAATTTATGGCTTGTCATTTTATGTCAAAGAAAATTACATAAAATTAAAAGTCATGCCTGAAGTTTTGGTCAGTGAAAAGCTTGTAAGTTCAAGGACTGTTCCATTTCCAGCAGTCACAATATGTACGCCTTATCAAGCAAAAATTAAAAATTTAAACATCACGAAAAGCTTAATTGAATTAGGGAATGGTAAAATTCCGATAAAAAAAGATTTGCAAAAGTTGATGGCACTTTCGCATGTATGCATGGATAATTATTTGGAACTGAAGAAAATTACTATTGACAAGTCGTATGATGTTAATGAGGCAGGCATATTAGATCACATTTCACCAGGCATTCAGGATGTGTTAACAATATGTTCAATCGATGGAATTAAAGCATGTGAAAACATAATGATACGATCATTAACTGACTTTGGTTATTGCTTTAGCTTTAACATGCTGGGATATCACTCAATTTTTAATGATGACATAATTAAAGATTTTGATACTTATAAGCGTTCAAATATACTCAAATCGTTTGATCCGAATGCTAAAGTTCAATTCTTTGACGACATAAACAATCCAGAACCTTCAAATTGGTCAATACAAAGTGGATATTCGGTAGATGTAAATCACCCAATACGAGCTACAAGAGGACGAGTATTTGCTGCTCAATTTAAAGTAAAAATAACTGAGATGGTTAATTTTTGCATCAACAGAAATAATGCCATTTATGTATTCCTGCATCTACCAAACGAAATTCCAACCGTTATGCATTCAGAATATATTTTTAGATCATCAACATCAAATATTATGAAAATATCGGCAGAAATTAAAGAAAATGATGAAACATTACAAAATTTTAAAATTGAGGAACGCGAGTGCTTCTTTGAAGACGAGAGGAGCCTTAAGTTTTTTAAATCGTATACAAAAAATAACTGTGAATATGAATGCCTGATTAATTTCACACAAAAGTATTGTGGATGTGTGAAGATAACAATGCCAAGAACAAAAGACATGAAGGTGTGTAAATTAAAGGATATTGAGTGCTACATTAAAGTATCGGAATTCTGGCCAAACTTATACTACGCAGATCCAGCACACAGCCATGAATTCTCTGACTTTCCATGCGGTTGCATGCCTTTATGTACACAAATCAAGTACACGATTGCAGACAAAATATCAGCTCCAACTAATCAAGGGTATGAAACTTTTTCAGGAGGAAACCACAAGGCGTATATTCTGGATTTATTCCGAAGATCCCAAAAAATCCCAGCACATCCTGTCATCCTAATTGAAAACCCTCAATTATTCATCAACTAAAGTAGAGATTTCAAATGGGATGCAAAGTTTGATGACAGGAATTTCTGGGATTTACTTGGGATTTTTGGGAATTTATGGGTTTAATCCCAAGTGTATACGCTTTGGTAAATCAACATAATTGCCCGACCGGCACACATTGAAATGTTTGCCACCGGAAACCGGGTTGATAGTATAATTAGAACCAAGTATCAGCCGCTTGGAAACAACTTTCAACAGGATGCCAAGTGGTTGCCATGTGGCTACCGTTTAGTTCTAATTATACTATCAACCTGGATGTCGGGTGGCAAACATTTCAATGAATTTAAATGTGTGCCGATCGGGTTGGTAAAACAGTTTGGAACTCACAAATTTCCTATCATGTTGTTTTTCTCCTTAAACTTTTTAAGGGGAGAAACTTGGTTTAAAATTATACACCGACTTGTTTCCCCCTGCTTATTTTATTCAATTCCAGCATTGATTACTATTCCTCAAACATATGGATTTGGTTTGAAGACTCACAAATTGTCAAAAGAACAAATTACGTCACCTACAAGCTTCTCAACTTTTTGTCAGACATTGGAGGTTTGATTGGATTGTTCTTAGGATTCTCTTTGCTGTCTCTATTTGAGTTGTTGCTAAACATATGCTCATATTTAAAAATGAAAGCTGATCAATTTATAGACAAGTTAAATCAAAATGTTGACTGCCAAAAGGACGAATCATTAACAGATGTTATTTCTGTAAGAGAATTAAGATCAATTCAGGATGAATCAAATGTAGTTCAGCAGGATGAAATGGTTTTCATACTTTAAGGCTTTGGACTCTAGACGCATTTGAACCTCATTCTAGCTACGTCTATGTATGTGACCCGAATAGCACAAGTCGATTAGTCGAATAGAAATCCGGCACCAAGCAGGTGTGATTCTGGCATGGTGCTGGAGTCAATTGAATCTAGCATTATGCCAGAGTTTCGCTAGTTTGGTGCTGGTTTTCTATTCGAATAACAGACAAGTGATATTTGGGTTCGAAACCATTCCATGTCTTGTGTTTTCAGCTAAAATGTCTTACATTGTACCCACAAATCACGCTTAAAAAGTTAATATGAAGCATCAACATTGAAATTCATTGTCACATCGATATTCTCACATTGTAATTTATGGATTGAACGTGAAGTTGTTGCACAATTCTCTCATAGCTGTATATGAACAATAATAGAATCACAAAGGATGAAAAAGTATTGTGGATTAAAAATTTATTGTCGAACATTATTTGAGTGTTAAGAGTAGCATTATTGATTTGAAACGTTTTTAGTCGATGAAAATCATTTTCTTCTAAATGATAATCTTAAGTGCTGAAACGTGAAAATAAAAATGGAGTTACGTTGCTTGACTTTATATTAATTTTTGTGTGAAAATTAACTGCATTTTTATTTGCAATTTTGATTTTATTGACTTATTTTACTTTTATGTTCTGGATTGGACATAAATTTTTTATATTTATGACGCGATGAAAGAGTCCACTGATGACATTATCAGGGTGGCATGAATTAATAATGATAATGAGGAAACATTCAATGTTTATGACTGAAATTAATTTTTATTGGACAATATTTACTGTTTTTAATGCAGATTGAAGATGATTAATTTTTTTGATGAATATGTTGATTGTATGACATGCATTAAGGGTGCTTGTAATGTTTACAATATTGTCAGATGGATGATAATGAAGATTGTAGATGATTTGGGTTATGAGTTGAGTCAAAATTAATTAAAATCTGATGATGATGAATTTGAGCTTCAATTTTTGAACGAGTTTAAGGTTCGATTCTCATTATCAAGCCAGAGGAGGCTTCATTGAAATGCGTTATCAATTTAAAATAATTTTCTAGTTTGGACAAATGTTTAGTGGTAATGACAGAATCCATTTTACATTTGAGATTCGAACCCATGTTCAATCAACCAGTCCTTCAGTTTCCAACTACTAAACAACTTGACCATTACACCATTACACTTTAATTCTCATCTATGGCCATATGTAATGTATATCCTTTAAAAAATCAACAATTTTCATGAAACTCAATATTTCATCCCTTCTAATCCTTCTTTAAACCACCACCAACAGCATCCAGAACAAACATGAAAGTAAAATTCCCTCACGAATAGATAAAAATGTTTAATATAAAATATTGTAAGCTACTTCATGCTGTTTCCCCTCGGAACATTAATCAATCGTATTCATTTCCCGATATAATAAGAAGCCCGTCTTCATCTCAATGTCAAAAAATAAATTTATTGACTCTCAAAATTCGTGTCTCATCATGTCAAAAAGCAATTTTCAGTAAGTTCTAAATTCCTTTATAGCTAAGGTCCAATTTCATTCTTATCAGCTCCCATAAGATTTTCTGTAAAATGCTTAATGTGTTCCAAATGAATTCACGCATCGACGCACGGTACACAAATCATAAATATTTACACATAATTTCACATTTCATACACGACAAACATTGAACATTTCCCGCTGGGGAAATTAACATGAAAATCTTTCCATTCGTCCCCTTCATGACTCTCGGCTAGGCTAAATATACATATATATCGAGTATCAGTGTTATAAAAATTAAATGACACAGAAAATATGGAATCTAATGTCTTTTGCTGTGTAGGCGAGAGAAACACTGAAATATGAGCGATAATGACATTTTGTATTACTTACAATAATTTTATTTTGGTCCTCATCTTTCTGCCTCTCGCTTCCGACTCTGTCACGCCATTTATGTGCTAATGACAATGATAACCTTGATGTGATATTAAGCATCTGATGGCTATTTAAATGCTGACGTTATAAATAACAACGTTTGGCGTTTGTGCTTTTTGAGGCTTCGTGCTGAGCACTTGTAATTGATCACATGGGAGCAATATTTGAGTTTTTGGACATATTTAATGATAGGAAAATGTGTTTTTGGGGGTGTGGAATTTTTGTTGCAGGATTTTTCATTATCAAGGTAGGAATGGAAATGGAATAGGCATGAAAAGACAAAATTGGATTTAAATGACAAGTCTTTAACGTCATATGATCTGAAATTGTCACCATATGTCCTGAAATTGGCTCTATAGTATGTTAAATTGGCACCGAATGGCTTGAATTTGCGGTATATAGTCTATAGTTGGCTCTATAAAGCGTGCAGATGGCCACAAAACGGACGATCTGAACTTATTTCACACTCTGACAATGTCTTATTTCTTTGAAGCTAAAAGCTTGACAAGAGACTGAAGAATAAGCATTAAAATGTTTAAAAAGTTCATGAAATCCTCAATTCTAATTATCATCCTAGTATGATCACATACTCCATCCAGACACATACTACAAAAATATAAATAAATTTTTTATATCCTCCTACACACAAAAAAGACATCAAAACCTTCTGCATTCACCCAACCTAGCCATGACAAGCACAAAAATCCACAAAACCCAATAAAATATAACTAGAATTGCGGTATAAAGAAATCAATTTGCAGACGTACAAAAATAAAAATAAATTCAACTTAGAGTAAAACGCAATCAACTAACCATAAAAGCCCTCATTGCCACAAATATCACAACATTTGAAGTAGAAAGTCATTCACCCCACAATGTTATATCATCATGATCATTATCGTCAACGGGAATATATGGATATGTACTTATGTACATATTTAATCTCATTTTTTTTTCGCAAGAGCATCTACTCCGCTTTTTTGTTAATGTTACAAAATGCTCATCGCGATTCAATTATGGTCGTTATTTATTGGTGTTTTTTTCTCGTTAACTTAATTTTTTATTTTTATTTTTTAAAGCTTTATGTTTTTTTTTTAAGCGCGTGGAGGGGTGGGATGGCATAGAGATATGGTAGATATTGAATTTATGTAGCAGGAGGGGCAGCAGCTTTTTGACGATTTTTGGCACATTTCTAATGTTAGTCATTGAATTACACCGATATAGACTCCCTTAGCAGGTACATTACTGTGCATTTAGGAGACAAATTCTTCAATTTTTAATAAGGTTTTGAGTATCCAACGTCTGTGTATTCCCTCCATAAACATCATTGGTTGTCTGCTACCGATGGGATTATTATTAAGTATCCATTAAGCCGAATACCAAAATATCAAACCCTCTGAATTGAAATAATCTTGAAAAAGCGTCAAACCAGGCTTGCTAGGAATCGAACCCGATTCACCAGCATAAAATCCATAAACCCTAAGGCTCGTCAAATGCTTAAAGTTTATTATTTTTTGCAATAATCAGAAGACATTTACAGCTTCCTACAGCCAATTCAATTCCCAAAAACACCATGCAATTCACAATAAAACTCAGCTAAAAAGAAGCTATATTGCTCCACATCCACCGCTCCCACATGTATAATTTTGAATAAATTCATCCTTATTTACCCCCGCTGAAATGAAAAACCATTCAGGCAAGCGAACGAAAAAATCGTTAAAAATTGTAAATGTATGTTAGGAATTGAATATGTTTTTTATGTACCCCTCCTGTTATGTATGCACAAAGCGCCAGCATATATAGCACATTATAAATTCCAACAATTGCTGGAGATGGCGAGATCTATAAATTTTCTTTTAATCACTTGAGTGGAACGAGACAAACATTTTTGTGTACCCTCAATTTTGCTGCTTTTGGTTCTTTTCTTTAGGATTATTGGGGTTGTGTGGAATTAAAGTCGGGAATTTTATAGCAAAAGGGGATGTCTTTGAAAATTGATTTGTAAAACTTGAAGGGATTTAAATGGATTAATTTTAAAGGGAAGACAATGAGACTTAATTGTGCCGCAGCCACAAAGAACTGAGTCACGCTCTTCTTATTTACAAATCTTATTATTTAAATTAAAAACTTTATAAACCTATAAAAAAATTCTATATCCACTTTATATGCATTAAAAAAGGAGTTAGAATTTAAAATAATTCTTTTTTATGCTCCGAATGCAAAATTAATTGACATGCTCTACTTGCACACATTTTTGTGGGGTGTCGGAAGTAGAATTTTACATTGCGGTGCCATCTTTCAGGACTGTCAACATCAGACTTCTATTTTTTAGAATATTGTCATATAGATTAGACATGCTTGTGATTTAATTCCTCGTGACACAAATTTCCAACTCGTCGCTCAAAAAAATGGAAATATGAAAAGAAATGACGGCAACTAAAATAAATTACAAATATTAAATGCACAGGCATTTGCCTGTAAAATCAAAAAAATGTATAAAAAACAAGCAATTCAATTCCCAATGATAAATTGTCGCACACTAAGCGTTCATTCATTTTCTTCTTTTTGTTTTGTGCCCCATGAAAAAAAAAATTTATTCATGCTTTCTTTTTTATTTCACTTAAAATGATTATGATTATTATTTTATGATTCCTTTAAAAATGAAATTTATTTGTTAAAAATTCACTGTGAGGAGAGCAATGGAGTGATATGGGAGTTTGGGTGGGTTTTTATTGGATGTGGCGCATTTTATAAAAGGAATTTGAATCTTTTTGTGGGTTTACTAATAAAATTGAACACCAGAATAAAGTTGGTTTTAGTACATTGAATGTTACTTTAGCTAAGTGTATCATATTAGCTCATATGACTTGATAGTCTAGTTGTCAACTACTCGAATCCTTAGAAACATATAAATGCAATATATTTCTTCTGAGTTTGAATCCTAAAAGTACAATTTATCATATTCTGAACCATATCTTGGGTTCATAACCCAGTGGAATACTGTCTTAATCAGCAGCCTCTTTTGAGGCCATTTTCTTAGCTAATACCCAAGTTTTAGGGGTTAATATTCATAACAACCCCCTCCTTGATATTTAATGAGATTCTGCTCATATTTATTAATCAAAAAATAAGAATCCTAGCTAATCCAGCCCCTAAACTGCTCCAAACTCCAAACATTCCTTCCAAAAAAATGCCCTCATCACAAAAAAGGCATCATCAGAGCCATAAAAAGGTAAAAAGAAAAAAATAAAAATATTGTATATGCAAAATCGTATGAAGAAGGAAGAAAAATTTACAAAATTCTTTCGCTCGGTTCCATAACAAATTGAATATTTCTGTACATTTCATTTTTCTTTGTTTTCTTACTTTTTCATTTTTTTTTTTTTTTTTGTTTACTTTTCCTGCTTTTATTAGGATAATATTGTTGTGAAAAATAAATAAGTTCATTATGAAGATTTTTCTTCGTTAGGCTTGTTATCTTTGATGATGATTATTTTGATGTTGGGAACTTCAGATTGAGGTTGAATCACAGTTGATGGAAAAGTTTGAAAAAGATGATGATATTTGAATGGAGTTTGGGTACCATCATTAAGACTAGGGAACTAGGGACTTAAGAGTATGAATAAAAATTGACTTTAATCACAAGGGTGGGTCGGTTTGACCCTACAAACCGGTTCCTAGTCATGATAGATTTGTTAAAATCACATTTCATGATTATTAGAACATAAAGTAGCTCCTAGCTTCGAGAGCTCGAAAAGTCGATAGGGTTCGAGTCACCTCGAGTCAACTTTGAGCTCTGCTAGCTTCTATAAAATTCTAAGAATACTAAACCAGGCATCTATTACATTCTTACTTTACAATTGGCCACTATATTTCAACCTTAAAGCAGCACAACCACAATTTATGAATGAAAAACAAATAAAACGATTCAACATAATTTTTGTTTTGTCCACAAATTGACCCTTATTAATGACATGAATTTACTCATGAGTAAATATTATTTATTAGATTAAGAGGATTACGTTGTTGTTGTGGTTTCTATTATTGTTCAAGCATTAGGTAAAAAGAAGCAGATTAGTCTGAATTTGATATTCTTTAAGGCGATATATTATGGATTAAGGTTTGTAATTTGTGGTTGCTATAAAAGCGAGTGGATCAGGCTTTAAACGTCATTTGTAATTGACCCACAAAACAAAGTTCAAACTTAATAAAAATTTTACATCCAAAATCCCAACTCTCGTGCGTATTATCGAATAAAATTTAATGTCCAAAGTTTTCTTTCCTCATTCTTTACGATTATTAAATTCACCGCAAAATAAAAAGTTTCTTCATTTTTAATGGATATATCAGATATTACAGGCACAGTATGAAAATAAAGTTCACAACTGAACCAACAATTTGCTTTCCTTAAAAACACAAAATTTCAATTTCTGAAAATTGATAAAACAAGCTGAATAAGCAAATCAATATGCTTGTTAAGGCTAGCTACTGCTGAATTCTCTTTCATCAATCATTCCTATCAAGAATTGTCTCCAACCGGCCTCGATTGATGAATGAATGAAAAAATTTTTATCATCTCAATTGGATGACTGTCGAATGATTACGCAGTTAGAGTAAGGACGTAGTTCTATATCAGAAGAACAAAATACAAATCATTGAGATAAATCTAAATGACATGATACAAATCATTTACATTGAATATTTTATCATGCTCGATAAAATTTTCTCGTTTTTTTCTGTTCCTTTATTTAATGGTGATTTGTGTAACAAATGATTATTAGTTTTCTTTTCATTGGCATGGCAGGGCATACATGGAGTTTTTGCTCCCTAATCATTTGTGTTCTTGTTCCTTTTTGAGTGTTCCATCAAGATTTTTTTTTCTGAATGTAATTTTTGTGGGAAATTTAAATCGGTTTTAGGGTTTTGATGGAATATTCATTAGACCGATTTCGATTTTTCTCATAAGATTGATTGATGGGCTCCTTGAAGAGGCTTGTAACGAGATAAAAGATTCTCTGCAATAATAGGGACGATACTAAAAGTCAAACCCTTTTAAAGTACCATATCACAGTACTAAGCACCTTTATCTCTTTATCTAAAAGTTTGCAACAAGGAGCTTAGTCTTAGAAGGGCATAAGGTTGATGTCAAAACATCTGCTTCACTAGAAATTTTCTTCAACATGCGAAAGACCCAGACCAGAGTCATTTTCAGAGGTAATTTCGGATATGGCTCTAAGAGCATATCTGTTGTAGATAATCCTAAGCATAGAGCTAGCATTGAACTGCTTATATGTGTATGACGGATAGCCGAAGTGAGATAAGTACCTCGGTGGCAGGGATCTCTGATCGAGTGGTAAGAGATCGCCTCTTTTGAGGTTGTGGGTTTGATTCTCATACTATACAGATATAGCAGTTATAGAGAATCTACAGTGATATTGACTTAAAAACCCTATTGCTCAAAAAGGAACCAAAAATCAAATCATTTTAGGTCCAAAACTCTTCATTTAACATCCTTTTGGTCCGAAACAATTTTAGAAGTCAGCCAATCTCTAATATCAAAAGATACCATAACTAATGTTCCCCCATAGCATTCAAAAAATCATTTCCTCCCATTATCATCCTTATTACATTTGAATACATCCTTACATTATGCCAACAACGAAAGCTTTACAAATTGTTATCAATCAAATTCATATAATCACTCATGCTGATAACAGTCCAAGAATAAGAAGACAGCATGATGGGGGGAGTGAAAAAGGAAAGGAAATGAAAAGGACCACAATGAAATGTTTTAATGCTTATAACATCCTAGGATATGGTAATGTATGTATAGATATTCATAGCCAACATCAAACAAATAGACAAAGGTGAAAAGGTGGGCATTTACAATGTTGTTGTTAGATTAAGAGATAATATGGAGAGAAAAAAGGGGCCAATGGACAGCTTCCTGTTGGGATCAAACATAAATTGAATGCTTCGTTAGACTCATTTTCATGATAGTTTCTGTTTTTATTTCTCTTTATGTAAATTGCCACAGATCCTTTCGTGTCTTCTTATTTTCTTCCTCTTAATCCTCGACTGTATGTAGGAGGTTAGATACAGAAGCTTCCCTGTTTTTTTCTCATGATACTAAAGTAAGTTTAGTTTTAGTTGTTAGATGAAAAGATTAGTTTTTTGGGAGGTTGTTAGCATGTGATTAGTTTGTCGGACTGGGCAATTGGATGGAAACAATTTTGACACCCATAGACCAAGCCTTAGATTGCTCCTGTGATTCACATTAGACTTTTTTGGATCTACATTAGGATCTACCGAACATACAATCCGTTCTCAATAAAACGCAAATTTAAACAAAGTTCATAACCTTAGAAATCAATTTATATCCCCGACAGAAAGCACATACTTCCTCCGAACACTCTCAAACTTTTTCAACTCAATCTAATTTTCATCCCTTTTCACAAACTATACTTATGACCCATTCATTTATATACATTCATATCTACTCTCTTTTCCCTCCATTTCATCTTCATTCTATACACATTCTCACTCACATAATGTACAGTTCCTGATAAGATGACACACAAGAAATCCTTTGAATCTCGCACACAATTTATAAACAATTTCAATTCCGTTATTTTCATCCTTAAAAAGAATTTTTGTGGACCTTTTTTTTGTCAATTGGGTTTGCTGTTTGAAGACATTCGGAATTATTTGATATCCATTAAAATGTTTCTTTTGTTGGAACCAAGGGAAATTTTTCAGTGAATTTTAAAAATATTTTTGTAATTTCCGGGTTGTTGAAAATGATACAGCAATGGATGATCGATAATAATTGACACGTAGTGAATTGATTCTGTATCTTGTGGGAATGGATGGCAATATTATTACTGCTGCTTGGAGCTTTGTTTCTGTTTAATGGAATTAAAAGCTGAAAACTTTTTAATTTCGATTTTATTGCTGTGCAATCGAGGATTTGTGATTCTGTTTGGATATTGACTTCCGAGTGGATAGGGGGTTGTGAATTTGACTATGGAACTTTAAATGTTGCTAGAAAATATGCGAATTTGGCTAAAATTGAGGTTCTGTTAAACAAATTTAGCTTAAAAGTTAATCTGAAGTCTTAAGCGAGCTTTTGCATTCTATAATATATGATTGATGCCAACCCATAACCACCTGGAAGACCACGAACTCAAATTTTAATCTCACAAAACAGAAACTTTTTAAATGTATTTCTCATGTTAGCTACAAAATCCAGACTTAATACCATATAAACTTTCTTCATAAACTTAAAATTCCCAATGCGGTTTTCAACTTTCAATAATAAGACTTAATTTTACAAATACTTCTTCATTCCGTTCATCTCAAACCCAAAAAACAATCTCATCCAATTTGACCTAACTTGGGGAAACGAAAGAAAAGCATCATCAAAACAACATTTTATTGCTGATATCATTGATGAAACTCAATTTTCTTCATCACAAAAGCCAAAAGCATCAACCGACATAGAGACTCAACTATCAATGATAAAAACATTATCAAAAACAGATTTTTCTTCTTCAATTTTCACTGAACAAAATGTGTTTTTGGCTTCTGCTTGAAGTGTTCAGTTTGGAATTGAACTAAATTTATTTATGTGTGTAATAGAGATCTATTCTTAAAAGAAAAATGAAGAAGTTTTTCATTTTGTTTGGATTTTTTATGTGTTTGTACTGTTGGGGGATGAAGGATTGAAGATTTTGAATGTTAAATTCTTAAATTGTCAAGTCAAAATGCAGCTTAGTTAAGAGACTGCTCTTACATTGATCATATAAACCAAAACTGAGAGCCATTCCTTAACAACTTGACTGCATTTAGCACCAACAAATGTAAATTCGATAAAATGTCTTATACAGTAAGACAGATAGAAAGAAATATGATGAAAAAAATTCCAAAAATACATTATAGGTTAAAGAAAAATTGTTCAAACTAACAAGAAAGAGACGAAAAAAGAAATCTCGTAAAGTATATCATATTCAAACAGTCACAAAGTGTCATTCGGAACAAAATAAAAGAAGAATAATGACTGCAAACAAACAATCTACAATAATTCAACTTTATAACGAGGAGAGAACTTTTCCTTGAGGCGATTTTTGTGAGATTTTCGTTTCCTGACTTGAATGCTGTATTTTGGGAGTTTAAATCATGAGTTTTCGTGATGTAAGTAGAGTTGATTGATGTTAATAGAGCACTAAAAATTTAAGCGTTGAAAAAAATTGTCCGCCATTTTGTTTCCACTTCAAAAAGTTTTTCTTTCAAAACTTCTTAACTTTAACGAATTTTGAAAAAATTATGAAGTCAAACTGTTCAAAAAAGTGGCAAAAGTTGATTTGCAAAGCTTTTTTGACATTAAACTCTTAAAATTTCTGAAATTTTGAGAAAATGTAGATTTTACCTAGCTTTTTCCCAAAATTTTTATACAAATTGTTTAAAAATCTCTAAAATTCGCATCACCAACAAACAATCTACAATTTACAACAATTTCCATCCAAAAACCATCCTAAGGGTGTAAAATAAATACCATTTCAGCATCACCAGCAACAAGAATAATCATCCTCACTGGAGTAAATTTACGGCAATGACAAAACATTTTTCATTGTAAAAAAGGCACAAAAAAATAATTTTTTTTTCATGCTGTTTTGCGTATGTTAAGTTGCGGTACTTGTATAATTGTTCCATCTTGTTTTCTCACTTTTTACTGGATGCAAATGTATCTATGGTAAATTTCCTTCCTGTAGCTCTATCTACTTAGTGTCTCTGAGGACTTTTTATGCATACTTTTTGTAATCTTCATCTGGCGAGTGGAATGAAGTGAAGTGACATGAATGATGGAAAACAAATGAAACAAATGAGAAATGATGGGGATAATGGCTGGGATCTTTTCTATAGAAGATTAAAATGCTAACGAGTTTGTGTAGAAGGAAGATGTGATGTTCTTGGAACAAAGAATGCGGACTTATGTGATTGGAAAACTTGATGCTTCCTTCATACTCATTTTAAAACTTTCTGTTGCTCAGATTTTTGTCAAATTCATGAAATATCTAGCATCAAAATGCGCTTCTAGCTATAAGTCTCAAATGAATCATTAACACAAACTTTCTTCATCAATTTCCATTCCACAAAAGATATTCAATAACAAATGCAATTCCATGTGCAGCTTAAAAGGGAATCTCAACTTCAATAATATGCATGATGATGATGATGATGATTTTACATAAAGTACATTATTAAGCATACATTCAGTCGTACAAACGAGTAAAAGCACAATAGACATAAAAAGCTGAAAAGAGCATTGAGAACATGGAATTATGTTTGTATACTTATTGTTTGTTTGTTGACTGTTTGAAAGGCATTATGAACATGTATCTCTCATTCCGAAAGCCACTGTATAAATCCCCACCGCATAAATGGATCTCTCAAATGAAAGAAATCCGACAATGATACAGACTGCTGTCGAGATTATGGCGGATTTTTTGTTGTCTTATGGACGTGGAAAAAAAGACTCGTACTAATGGATGTGAAAAAAGCAACAAATAATTTCATTTAATATTCAGAACCATATCTCTCCTCGTGTACACAATTTTTTATACTGCCTCCGTCCTGTGTACTGTGGGAAAATAAGGAGGTTTATGTCCTCGAGGTGGTTGACTTCATCGAGATCAAAAACATTTTGTAGTGTTTGATAGCTTAGAACAGAGTTTTATACAAAATCAGAGGTTCAGCTTGGCATTACAGTAAAATCTAGTTTAACTAGGCCGCCATTTTGTGTTCACCTCAAAAAGTTTTTTCGTAATAACTTTTAAACAAAGCAATTATTTTATTTGAATTCTTCGCAATTCTCTCGAAGAAAGTGGCAAGAATCAATTTAAATCCAAGAACTATGTCAAAACATAAGCCTAACCTCAAAATCTCAATGAAAATTTTGCAAATTTAATTATTCAGTTTTCTGCTAATTATTTTATCGATCTCTGAGATTTTAACTTCTTTAATTTATGATTTTACCCTTTTGTTGACTCCATCTGCAAAATATCTAATTATTACGATTTTCCTCGTACCTTTCGTTCCGTTTCAATTATCATTCTCGATTTCCTCCATATACACACAACAAGATATATTGAAGAAAAGCAATTTGTAAGTATTGACGGTAATTAAGACTAAGAAATATGCTCCCCATAACAATAATTTCTATATTGTATGTAATATGATTCTTAGATTTAAGTGAAAGCAGCAGTGGGCCGGGGCGAGAGGAAATGAATGAAACATGAAAAGAGAGGAAAGCAATTACCATCAATGGCTTCAATTGTCTACATTTTCTTTATGTATGGAAATTGCTTTTATCCTCCTTTGTGTCTCATTTTCTGTATACATATATTTTATTTCAGAAAATTTCAAGTGATGTCATTGATGATCCTGAATTGAATTGAAATTGAATATTATTCTTGCTAATCCCATTGAAGTCGCTTTATTGTCTATGTCCTTTATATCAGGATCAATCTTTGTTTTCTTTTTGATTAAATTGATTCTAAATTATTGATTTAATTGAGGGGTTTTTGAGAAAGCAGTTTGGGTGGGGTTTAAGCATCTATTTAAAATTCATCTGGTTTTGGTTATGAATGACCTTTGGGGTCATGAGATTCGGACATTTGGATTTATCTCATCCTTTGTGTCACACATCGTTAGATCCTTTTTTCAACAAAAAAGATGACATCATTTTTAAACGACCCCTATCTAATAGTCCATAAACTACAACATACTTAATCACAAAACACTTTAATTACCCCAAACTACAATCGCCTTAAAGCAACTTACTCTAAAATAATCCCTCAACTTCCACATAATCCCTGTAGCAAACTAAGCCATCTGCGGCACGTCTGAGTATATCTAGTCAAAATTGACAAGAACAAGCAAGCCACAACAATAGAAATCGATGATGCAATAAAGAAAATTAAATAAAATTTTGATGTGAACAGCAATAAAAATTTATTTAGTGCCAAATTTGCAGATTTTTTCCAAAGACTCTTAGATGAGGATCATTTAGTGAATAATCCACTTTAAATTAAGCATAATTGTATAACAAGATATTTTTTTGTGTATATGTGTCTTTATGGGAATTGAAATCCGTGCATTAATACAGCACATTGCAAATTACATTCCCATATTGTGTATAGTCGACTATATCAAATTACAAAACGTGTGCAAATTCTATTATATGCTCATATAATTGAGATAATGCTAGACTCGCTTGAAGTGCTTAATGAAAATTTTACTTTTTGAGTGCTGTGAAATTGATACTTTCAGACTAAGTGTTGATGAATTGTGCATGAGATTATGTAAAAGTTATAATTAAGGAAAGTGTTCATTTACAAATGGATAGGCTGAAATTCAAGGATTAAAATTCTTGAAGGTTTTCCTAAAGCCTTCCTTCATTCTGAAGCTCTGCCTTCACATAAGGCTGTGTCTATAGCAAGCTACAAAAACCCATTTAGAGCACTAAAATAATTTTTTTAATTTCCATAGGAACTAACATCAAAGCATCAATTTTCATGCTTGCATGCAATGTGCTTCAATAAAGCGAAGTTTATTACACTTTTTAAAAAAAATACAAAATAGTAAGAAACTCCTGCGAGTGCTGTGCATAAAAATTCATTGCTCTTCACATAAACAGTCTAGCCTGGGTTAAAAGTTTAAATTTACGTACATAACTTACATATAAATGTGATCAATAAACAGACGGCGGTGCATTTTTAAAAGCATCGTTAACTGATGGCAAATTGATGTTGATTGTCAGTTTGGGGATGATAAGAAGATTGGAAACGGAAAATTATATTTTTTATATTCACACCGTTTTCACGTGTGAATTTATTGGTTTTGTTCAGATTGACAAAGCAAAATTGGTTATAAAAGGGCAAGAAGAAAAGTTTGTGCCTGAAATTTTACATCATTTTCAAAAAACAGATTTCAAATTGGTTGTGGCATTGCTGAGAAAATCGCAAAATACGCTTTCTGTAAGCAAACAAGCAAGCAAGCAAGTTAATCAGCAAGAAATCTCAATAACGAGACATCGTAGAGACTTCTAGTTTTTTACATTTGATGCGTGCTGCTCTATAGAAGAGCTGTATTGTTTTTGGGCAAGGTAGGAACAGCCGTTGCTTCAGAAATGGCAAAAAACTTTCCTTTCTTACGAATTTTTTAAAACAAAAGTTGACTGTGATTTTTATAAAATTCAAGTTTGGATGAAAAATTTTTTTTAAAAACTTTTAAAGAATGTTCGTTAAACTTATGCTGAGCGAAGCTCAGCTGCCTCTCTAGCTTCATATCTTCAAACTTATGCTGAGCGTAGCTTAGTTGACTTATCAAGCTTCATACCTTCATACTTATGATGGGCAAATCTTGGTCTATCCATAAGACTTATGATAGTACGGTGTGAATATAATCCGCATTGGGTTTCTACTCGATACACTAGTTTGTTAAATGGTTTTTCTATAAATAATGGACATCAGCTTTGGTCAATGGTCGAATTGAGTTGCGAACCCCTTCCAACGCATTCATGTATGACTAATAACGCCACTTGTCAAAAATCAGAAATCAATTTAAAGCAAAGAAATGCTTTGAAATACAAATGAACGATTTGAACGGGTTCGATTCTCAAAAATAAATAAATTTACTGTTTTTCAATTTTCAAAATCTAAAGTTTACTTTTTGTGTAATATTTTGATTTTATTTCAAACCGTTCAATGCAGTCAAATAATAATAATAATAATAATCATGGCCAATCTTTGTGCCACGGCACACTAGTATGCAGCAAAAAAACCGTCTGCTGTGCGCGGTTTCTGTCAAGATCCCCCCCCCCCCCAAAAGCGTGCCGTTGCACAAAAAAGGTTGTCCACCACTGATATAATGCCAAGAATAGCTATCAAAACCCTTTTGATGTACCTTATTGCCATCAACCTCCAAAAAAATTATTCTAGCTTTATCCAAGACACCCAAATTAATAATTTACACCAATCAATCATAAAAGCTTCCCATTTCCCATTCATCTCAATCCACAAATTTCCAACTTTCTTAGCGTGTCAGTTGTAAAAAAAATGAAAATTATTTCCCATGAAATTTGTTATCGTCGGACAGCAACAATAAAAGTTCGTTTTGTTCTGTGAATGAAAAAACTTGAAGAAGAAAAAGAAGCAAAAAAGGCAAGGCACAAAAAAAATTGTTTCCAAGAATATACGTCAGTCCATTTAGCACTCATCGTTGTGCTTTGCTTTCACACTTTCATTTATTTCATTAGCTTAACAGAAAAAAAAGAAATGAAGGAATTTCCTCATTTGGAGCGATACTAAATGAAAATTATAGCCATAAATTCCCTTTCCTCATTTCCTCAAACACTAAAGCTCAACTGTCTGCTGTTCATAGAAACAATTCTCTTTATTTCTCGTCAGCAATCAATGGAAATGCTTACAAATTATGGTATTGAAAAAATTGCTCCCAATTGTGTACAATAAGGATATGCGGAGTGTGAGATAAATGTGGGATATATTGGATATAAATTGAACACAATAATGCATCATTGTGGTCATTGTGGTTTGGCATGAAAACTCATTCAGGAAGAATTTTATTGTTTAAATGGGAAGATGAGTAGTTGGGATGGATTGAGTAGAGTTTGTGAAGTGCTTAAGATAAATTTTAAATAATTTATAAACTTCACAAGAAGTTTCAGCAATTAAAAGATTTGAACTATTTTATATACTTCACAAAAAGTTTCAGAAATTGAAAAGTTTAAAAATTAAAAATTTTGTTCAAATTTGAACTATTTTATATACTTCACAAGAACTTTCAGAAATTGACAGGTTTGAAAATAAAAAATTTTGTTCTAAATTTGAACTATTTTATATACTTCACAAGAACTTTCAGAAATTGAAATGTTTAAAAATTAAAAATTTTGTTCGAATTTGAACTATTTTATATACTTCACAAGAACTTTCAGAAATTGACAGGTTTGAAAACAAAAAATTTTGTTCTAAATTTGAACTATTTTATATACTTCACAAGAACTTTCAGAAATTTAAAGGTTCGAAAATTAAAAACTTTGTTCAAATTTGAACTATTTTATAAACTTCACAAGAACTTTCAGAAATTCAAAGGTTCAAAAATTGAAAAATTTTATTCTAAATTCGAACTATTTTACGTACTCCCCAAAAAGTTTCAGAAATTGAATGGTTCAAAACTTAAAAATTTTACTCTAAATTTGAACTATTTTTTATACTTTACAAGGGTTTTCAGAAAATATTAATTCCCAGTTTATCTTTCATATCATTTTAATATTATTATTTAAAACTCATCATTGATTTTTCATAAATATTAATTACCACATAAGCCAATATTATGAAAAGAGGATTTCAACTTCGAATGAATGAACTTGTGCATGATAAAGTTTCATATATGCACAGAGAAAAATATTAAATTCATTATCCGAACTTTTCAGTTTATTATAATTAAATTTATTAAATGGTAAAATTTTCATTTTCAACGAACACTTACTCAGTAAGTTGGGTGAATAAGCAATTAAGAGATATTGTTCATATTCTTGGGATATAAATTTGAGGTTATGAAGATGGATTGAGTAAGAATGTGCTTAGTGAGCATTCAATGGATTTTTAAGAATTTGAATTTAGTAACGTTTTTTGAAAATTCAAATTTCTAACGGGTTTTAAAAATTCAAATTTTATACGGTTTTAAAAACTTCAAATTTTTAGCGATCCTCAAAAATTGAATTTTTAAAAACTCAAATTCATAAAAATATTCAGTTCAAGATTGTCTCATTTTCATTTACCAGACAAAATGCTCAACATCCATCACCCATCATTAATCCTAATAAAAATATGCGAATAAAAATAAATTTCACCCATTAAAACTTTCCTTTTTCCCATCTTTATATCCACTGTAAAAAAAATACAAAAAGCTTTTAGCACAAAATTAGTATGAATTAGGAAACGGAAAATAAGAGAAAAAGAAGGAAGTGACGAAAATAAGAACAAAAGTTTTTTTCTTCATTTGACTTAGTTTTTGAAAGCCCACGCTTAATTCAAAATTATTACAAATCGTCTTGTTGTTGATGATGATGAAGAACTTTTGGTCTTATGCTTAATGATTATTATGAAGTTGAAATGGGAAACCAAAAAGTTGTCTTTGAGGTTATCTTGGCTATTGTGAATGATATTTTGATGGTGCTTGTTGCTGGTTGTGACCATTAAAGCCAAGCCGAGCCCAATTAAATATTTTTAAATGTGTGCAAATTTAACTAATCAGTCTTAAGTCACAAAAAAGTTTAAAATATCATATTTTTTTAGATTTGGGTATGACAGGCTAGATACCAACCAAAAGACTAAACATTTACTTTAAGACATCCTCAAATCTCAGAATCTCATAAACCCACACATCATCCACAACCCTCAACTTCTTATCGATTTCCGACTCGTCTGCTTACTTATTCATGCATAAGCAAATAAACTTGACAACTACGAGCGATGTTTAATGAATTCTCGACCACAAAAGTGATGAGTTCATTCACATTTTGGTAATCAATTTAGCCTACAACTTTATGCGTGTGGCTGTGGCTTGTGTGAATGTTGAATGGTCTTTTTGTACATGCTGTAAATTAAGTTTACAATGAGCTGTAATTAATTTAGTTCAAAGTTATAATTAATCTTGTACATTTTGCTTGTTTCTTTTCATCTCATGCAGAATCAAATTGGGGCTTGCCATTGGCGATAGCAGCGAACTTACACAGACCGTATCGAATAGAAATTGGCATTGAGAATATTGAGAATGCCAAAATCAAGGATAAACAAGGAAAAGGTAAGCAAATGTTAAAGGGTGAATTTCGACACTCAAAGACATAGCAACAAGGACTCTTGTGCTTTAGGGACAACAATAAAAATGTGAAAAATCATAAATTCTGACAGGCAATCACGCACCCTTCTTTCAACTTCAATTAAAATTCTAATTATTGTTTCCTGACAATACGTCTTTGTCCTTAATGCGTAGCATGAACATGATGAACATGACTTCTTGAATATGTAGGTACACAAATATTAATGCGTATATTTATGCATAATAATGGAATGGATTTACTAGACGTGAGGATTTGATTGGATTGGCAAGTAATTGAGGTCTTTAATGTCATAGTTCAGGTTGCATAAGGTTTTATGATTAAGTAGATGTAGCTTTGGTTGGAATGTTGGATCGAGGTGGTTTATGGGTCTAAATTGAATGCAATGAAGTTACAGTTATTGCCAAGTGCCTTAAAAAGGTTTTAACTACGTTATGGTAGCTCTAGGCATCACCTTGACCTAAAAATAGCTAGAATAATGCAAACATGCCTGTCTAAACTTAAAAGCTATGAATTGCTAGACAATGCCTAGCTTAGCCAAACCTTAGTATAGATCCTAAGCCAAGTAAACACTCCTGACACACTAAGCAGTCAAAATACACCCCAATTAAATCAAAAACCCAACAAAAAATCCACAACTCGCAAAAAAAATCCACAACAGCTATCGAAAATCAATTCCAAAATCGACAGCATTATCATCATCAACATTCCAACTCCCTAAAATTCCACAGACACACATTGGAACAAAATAATAAAACTATCAGAATAAATCAACTCAGAACAATGACAAAGCAATAAGGGGTGCAACTTTGTGTGTTTGTATGCGACCAAGTCATGTATATGCGGGGGTGGAATAGCAAAAGTATCGATTTTGTTCTCTCATTTACAATTGCTGTATACTCAAATATTCTCATTATTCAGCAAAGAATTAAAAATCAAAATAAAATATTTTTGTTCGCACTCAATTCCAAGTGCGGATTAAGAAGAAGAAGAAGGCAAGAATATGGAAAGGAAGTGATTGACATAAAAATCATTTGCAAATAAAATTTTAGCAAATAAAAAATAAAGGGTGCGAAGTGCTTCTTTATTGCGCAAAAAATTATTGACGTTGGGGATTGTGCGGATGTTATGTCATGACTGAGTGTCATGTCTAAGTTGGTGACTTAGACCTGGAGTTTGATGCTTAAACAAACACTTGATTGACTAATTTTAGGTATAAGAATGTCCAGACCCCCCCCCCCCCCCCCCCTAGTCTTACATCAACTATAAATTCACAAAATTTCGTATGATTCTCAACAAAAAAATGCATACCATAACTTCCTTACAGCCCCCTCCATTTCCCCATGTCATCGCAAATTGTGTAATAAATTGAAAGCAGATTTAAAATTCCAACCATGTCAAATATGCGTGAATGAATAGTTTGAGCATTATAAATATTTATATTGATGAATAAGTACACAGACATAGATATGCACATGGAAATTCTCACTGTGGGGTTGAGAAAGCGCAGACAATTCTGACGTGAAAGGGAAAAGTTTTTGAGTCAAAAATTAGGGAAAGTCGCAAGTCAAATTTGCAAAATGTCGAGACTATAAAAAACTCATATTAGGAATTCTTTTATTATCTTTATGGATTTCAATAGAATCACTGAGTTCCGATATATTAAATTGCTTGAAAACCAATTTTGTGATTTAATGGTGGCAGTGATTCAATCAAATTGTTTTCATTTCTGATAGTTTATATTCGTTTGGTGTTTTTTATGAAAGCTATTTTTATGATAGGAAATAGCTCAATTTTATGCGAAATTTTGATGAGGAATATTTTTGAAAAATAAGAATAACTTTTGTATGTTATCTAATGAGTTTTGAAAATATTATGGTACCATAGATAAAACCTTCTGATAATTAGGGTCGTTCACAAATAACGTTACAATTTAATTTTTCCTGAAGTGTTGTACAGCTGGTACAAAAGATTTTGCCTTTGATTAGGATCACAGTACAGCTTTGCCATAAGTTAACAACCTATTTGGTCTATTTGTATTACTGATTTTGTTGGAAGTCTCTAAGTAAAACCGCATCATCGATAATAACAAAGATTAAAAGCAAAAAATAGTTTAAGTTGGCACTCTGCAAAGCTTTTAAGCAACAACCGATAGCTCAGTGTTAAGAGTATCTTACCGGAAATAGGAATGACGCGGGTTCGATTACCACTCGTGACATGTTGTTGGGAAGTTTACTTTTTTCTGCTAAACATTCAATCATGACGTTCACTTATGACATCCATCAAAAAACCTGATTTTTAAACCTCCCTCCCCTCCTCTGTCACAAAAATTCTATAGAAACTAGTGTATCGGGTAGAAACCCAATGCGGATATATTCACACCGTACCATCAAAAGTCTTATGGATAGACCAAGATTTGCTCAGCATAAGTTTGAAGGGTGGGCTTGAAGTAAGGCCGAGACCCATATCGACACAGTTCAAAAGTTATACCTAATTTATGTCATAATTATGTCAGCTACAAAAACACTTAGTTTGAATTTTGTCACCCTCGGGAACACTATGAACCAGTATAGCTGTTTTTGGTACAAATCTCGGCCAAACTTCACACTTATTTGAACCACATTTTCTCGTAAATGTTAAAATATTATTAAAAAGTAATTAATCCTGAATTATGTCGCTATTTTGTCAAGTGTTTTAAGATAAAGAATTTGTTTTTTGGTTTCCACAGTAAAGAGTAAGAACAAAACTCAGGTTGAATTTTCAAAATTTTATCTTTCGATTTTTTTTTTACTATGCATTATAAAAAATAATATTGGTATGTAATTTATGTCAGAATTATGCCAATTCAAATAAAACATCCAAAAAAATTTTTTGACCAAAGAACCAAGTAGAAATACATTTTTAATTATGAACTTGGGACAGGTCTAGTCAAAATCTCGTTTTTCACTTTTTTCGCTTCGAGGATAAATCCAGGGGGGGGACAGAGCAAAAATTTCCATAAAAAAAACCCAAAAATGTTTACTCTGATGAAATTTCCAAGTACTCCACAAACGAAATTGAAAAAGTCAAATTTAAAGGAACTAAAGCATCGAAGTAAAATTTTTTGGATGTCAAAAGGTCTTAAATCATGATTCTCATCAGCTCCAATCAAAATTTCGGTCCTAAACTGCATCGGAAGGAAGTATTGCGAAAATTTCATTTTTCGACAATTTTTTTTCCAATACAAAGTGGAGTACTTGGAAATTTTATCAGAGTAAACATTTTTGGGTTTTTTTTTATGGAAATTTTTGCTCTGTCCCCCCCCTGGATAAATCCAAATACAGGAAAACTTTGTATGAGCATTCTAATCCTCAGGTCACACATTTCTGAATTAATAAAAAATCATTTTTTTGGAAAAATTTTCACGTTGTTTTTATATGTAGAACCAAATTTATAAAATTTGCGTCTGACGACATATAGAATACATTTCTTGCTTTAGATATTTAAAACTGTTTTGTATAAATATTAGTATACTCACACAAAGTTTCACTGTAATTGGATAAACCTTCGAAGAAAAAAGTGAAAAACTAGATTTTGACTAGGGTCGCCCCTAGTCCAAAATTGAAAATGTATTTCCTACTTGTTTCTTTGCTCAAAAAAATTTTAGAATGTTTTATTTGTATTTGTTTTAAACACTAAAATATTTATGCAAAGTTTCAATCCATTTGTATAAACCCTCGAAGAAAAAAGTGACAAAATTGATTTTGACTAGGGTCGCCCCTAGTAGGGTTTGGGGAATCTGTTAACAGAAAACAGGTCTCAAAAACAGATCTGTTTTCTGTTTTTCATTTTTACATATAATTTACAGAAAAAAAAATTTCTTAATTTTTTGAAGAACATAATATATTTTTCTAGCATTTCAAATTGAAATGTATTTACTATTTTAATTTTTTTGGATGTTTAATAGGTTTGAAATCATTATCAATTTTATGATTAATCATTATTAATTTTGCAATCGAAATTTTAAATTTGTTGAACCTTTTGTAGCATTTACTAAAGTTTAAAAATATAATCAACAATTTTACAAGATATTTTTTTATTCAGAAAGATTTTTTGAATATTTCAAATAAAATATTAGAGCTTATGGAACTTTTACAATGCAACAATGCAATGGTTGCTTTATGGTTGTTTATACAAAGGTATAAATTTTTTTGGTTTTTTTTTGCATTTTTATATTTCATCAGGGGGGGGACAGAGCAAAAATTTCTATGAAAAAAAACCCAAAAATGTTTACTCTGATGAAATTTCCAAGTACTCCACTTTGTATTGGAAAAAAAATTGTCGAAAAATGAAATTTTCGCAATACTTCCTTCCGTTGCAGTTTAGGACCGAAATTTTGATTGGAACTGATGAGAATCATGATTTAAGACCTTTTGACATCCAAAAAATTGTACTTTGATGCTTCAGTTCCTTTAAATTTGACCTTTTCAATTTCGTTTGTGGAGTACTTGGAAATTTCATCAGAGTAAACATTTTTGGGTTTTTTTTCATAGCAATTTTTGCTCTGTCCCCCCCCTTGTATTTCATTATATTTTTTAGAGTTAATTAACATAAAAAAATAAGAAATAATAATGCTAAGCTCTAAAATGTATGCTTAACTGCTTATAACCACCAAAAAGGTTTATTATCTTAGAACAACACTTAGGATAACTCAGTTTATTTTGAATTCTAGAAAAACAGGAAAACAGCTGTTTTTAAAAATCAAAAACCGAAAACAGACTGTTTTCAAAAACAGCTGTTTTCCACAAACCCTAGCCTCTAGTCCGAAATTGAAAATGTATTTCCTTCTTGGTTCTTTGCTCAAAAAAATGTTTTTCATCCAAAGTTTAATTTAAAAAAAAACCAAAATGAACTTTTAATTTGAAAAATTCGTAAGAAATGAAAGTTTTTTGCTTTTTCTGAAGCAACGGCTGTTCCTACCTTGCCCAAAAACAATACAGCTCTTCTATAGAGCAGCACGGATCAAATTTTAAAAACTAGAAGTCTCTACGATGTCTCGTTATTGAGATTTCTTGCTGATTAACTTGCTTGTTTGCTTGTTTGCTTGTTTGCTTGCTTACAGAAAGCATATTTTGCTATTTTCTCAGCAATGCCCCAACCAATTTGAAATCTGTTTTTTGCAAAAGATGTGAAATTCAAGGCACAAACTTTCTTTTCTGAACATTTTAAGCTTTCTTGCTCCATATCCTCACAAATTTCAAAAAACTGATTTTTCAATCTGAACAAAACCACACGTGAAAACGGTGTGAATATAAAAAATTTCTATTGTTTGAACTGTCACAAAATCCTAGACCCTCCCCCCCCCCCCTTAAATGTCGGACGTCATAAGTGAACGGCCCCAAATCAAGATTCTTAAGTATTAATGTCAAGTTACAACAGACTTGATTCAAGATGAGGCTTCCAATGCCTTAAAAGAGACTGTTCTAAGTATCATTTGGGTGACAACGTAAGTTCTGAGAACGGGTTTGGGGTTGAGGAAAAAAAATCATAAATAGCTTTCTCGTTGGTCCAGAAACATTTCAAACCCATCTCACAGCACAAAATATTTCTAGATAAAATGGTATATCCACACTGTACCCAAAGTATTTAACTCTACGTCCTCACAAAACTTACCTCAGAAGTCTATTAATCCGCAGTTCAATTTCCAAATTACATAAGAACAATTTTTCACACTAATTTACCTTAAACAATAAAAATTTTAATTCAATGGTTGCTTCACAATAACAATTAAGAAGCAAAATGATTTTCTAATGATTACTTTGCACTTCTACAATACTTAAAAATGAAGATTTTCCGATTCATTGACATCTGCTCTAGTTTTTCCAGCAACTATTATTAAATCAAATTCATTACTGCAATTAAAATCTTATTATTTTTTCCATCGATTTACCTTCTGTGCTGAATAATTTATTACAACTTTATATCTTCTTTCCATTCACAGTTCTCATCGTCTGCTCACCATTCAACTCACCAATAACAAATCACATCGTAAAAAGATATCAAAATCATCATCACACAAGACTCTTATTGATTGACATAATTGGCAATGTATTTAGCTACGAGCGTCCTTTCTATCGAGATTTTAATAAACTGTTCGTGCTGACAATTTTAACACAAAAATTCAAATACGTCCTTAACAGTAAATATCATGATGAATTTAGTCGATATTTAAATTTAACGAGCATCAACACACGTCATCGTCAACAAGATGCAAATGAGCCTGACGAGAATGAATGTGATTTTGATAAGTACAAAGGTAGTAATTATAAAGATATGGAAGTGGCACTCGCGAGCTTTACAGCATCATGTAAGCATAAAATCAAAGAACATTATTGCAATAATCTCACAAATAGTCGTGTTGATGACGATGATGATACTAAAGCATTTTGTGAGAGATTTCATCAAAAAGATATTAACGTAGCAGATGACGATGGCAATGAAAGAAGAAGCAACAGCAATGGAGTACAATTGAATGACTTCACATTCAATAAGCAATTAGTTTTCAGTGAACATTTCAATCTTTTCGATTTTATCACGTCTATCATGCGGAGTGATGAAGACGAGGATGATAAAGGTGAGATGAGGGGATGAAACTAGTTGTTAAAGATTTTGAATATGTGAAAGAGATTTTTAGGGATATTTGGGGGTATCTAAGGATATTCTAATCTATTTGAGGATATTTAGGAACATTTGAGGTTATTTGACGATACTTAAGGCAACTGGGAGATAAACAGAAACATTTGTGGATATTTAAGGATATTTAGGGATATTTGAGGATATTTACTAACATTTGAGGTTATTTGACGATACTTAATGCAACTGGAAGATATTCAGAAACATTAATGGATATTTGAGGGTATTTAGGGATATTTGAGGATATTTACTAACATTTGAGGTTATTTGACGATACTTAAGGCAACTAAAAGATATTCAGAAACATTTTTGGATATTTGGGGGTATTTAGGGATATTTGAGGATATTTAGGGATATTTGAGGATATTTAGGAATATTCAGGGATACTTAATCAATATTTGGAGTATTCGTAGCAATTGAATACCAACCAAACCACTTCCTCTGTTCCCACACCCTAACATTTCTTATATCCCCAATCTAAATATCATAGGTGCCGATAAGAAGAACATAAGCAATCAAGAACGACATCATCAATTTGATTTCATTGTCCTCGATTTTAAATCAATTTTAAATGCGACAGATGACAGTATTGTCAGCTGGCGACCACTCATTATACTTGAACAGAATCAAATTGATAAAAATGCTTTCATCATGCATCATGCACTTTACGAACGTGATGTCTATGACGATTGGCAGCAAAATATATTTAAGTGGAGTTGTAGTGGATTATGTTGGGGAATAATTGCCGCAATCCTTCTCATCATTATTGGCCTTATCTTTATCACCAGTCTTTTTGCTGCTATTGCTGCAAGGTAAGCAGATTTTATTTTGTTAAAGAAGTGGAATTGACTATAAAAAGGAGAGAGTAAATGGTCATAAATTATTGGCAGGAGATTTTTTGAAGATTCTTTTTTTGTGTGTGGTATATGGAGTTAAGTATGAGCATCCAGGGATATCAGACAGAGCTGACTTAAGAGAAGTTCTGCAGTGTCATTATTTGATTTTCATATTAGAGCTGATATTCAGGTATAGAATAGGCTTACCAAATACATGACTAGAGTAAGCTTGAGGGATAGTGTCTGCCCTTAAGAAACCCTAGTTTGTACTTCAAGAGTACTTCAAAGCTTTATCTTTAAATCCATTTTCTAGAGCTACTTGGAGTATCAAATCAATCAAGTACATCGAATTCCGATTTTTGATTAATGTACTTGAGGTAGCTCTTAGCACTAATCCCTTTTGGTTGTATATTTACCAAAATGCACCCCTAATTTATGGCAATATTATCCCTAGCTTTTCAAGGGACGCAAACCTCCAGCACAAAAGCTATACAAAACAACAAGCAGCCAAAAATAGACCCCAGCGCCCCAAAAAAATATCGATTCGAATCCAGAATCACCTTTAAAAATCAACGATCCAATCTTTAATTCAGCTCACATTGACTTTATGCTCAAAAATGCCCATAAGATTTTATTTCCTTTTGTTACAGACTATTGCCACTTATAGGATTCTTCTTAATGACACTTCCTCTCTCTTTTGCGTCTCTTTCGAAAATTTATTTCAGCAATGAATGTTTCAGCCATTTACTTATTTTTTTTACAATGGAGATAAAAAGTTTTTATGGTTGCTTTACATTGCCTTTTGTCTCTGTTAATTTTTTTTTTTTTTTTGTTCTCTATTTCGCTCCTCATAAAACTTGTTGAGACTATTTTTCGAAATGATGATAATAGTCATGGCGCAGGCTGAACGAAGGAACTTTCCATCTTTTTTATGTCTTATGAATCTATAACTTTTCATTGTCATCTCGTTGCAGGAACTACTTTTTGAAAAAGCGATTATCAAAAGGACCAAATAAAGTTGTGCTGGCACCATCTGATTTTGTATTTCCGATTGATGCTCGTCGTGTAGACGAAGGTATTGAAGCAATGTTATGTTGTTGGCTGCAACAGCTACAAGAATTTGGTGGACCTGAAGTTGACAAGCCTGATCTGTTAAAGGGATCCATAGGATCATTAAAGAATTTAGGACTGCCAGGTGTTGGTGGTGCCAAAGGAAGCTCTGCATCAGGAAGTATAGTTAAACAAAATAACGCAAATATGTTAGAATTTAAGGCACGTTATCAGGGTGATTTAGTTCAATTGAAGGAGATTCACGTACCTTCTGGAAATTCCATTGAGTTAAAAACAAAAGCAATGGATCATCTAATAATGGCACATGGCCTAAGACACGAGAACATAAATCCATTAATAGGATTTCTTAGTGATCCAAATCGTACGGCACTCGTTTTCGAGCATTGCTCTCGCGGATCACTTCAGGACGTCCTCATAATGGACGAAATAAAACTCGACTGGTCATTTCGATTGAGCTTACTTACGGACTTAGTACGTGGTATGAGATACTTACATTCAAGTCCATTACGTGTTCATGGATCGTTAACGTCAAGAAATTGTGTTGTTGATGCACGTTGGGTACTCAAAATTACTGATTATGGCTTGCCAGCTTTTTATGAGTCGCAAGGACTTGCGCCACCCCCAAAGACGGCTAAAGGTAAGGTTAACATACGTGTATGATGGTCTATCATGCGATGAGTGCTTTTGTTTGCTGGCTGTTTTGAACTTTAATGAGTATGAGTTGCTTAATGTATTTGAATGTCTATCTGGCTGGCTGGATGAATGTATGAACGTGTTTAAGTCTTCCATCTCATTAATTTGGATAAATAGATGGTAAACTAGCTGATTTACTAGAATTCCATCTATTTTGTAGGCTGGTAGACTCTTTCATTCCTAAAAGCTTCAAAACAAGCGCTACTCACAGCAGATTCCTCACAATCACTTCATTAACTTAACATTCCATCTTTTCATCCTCTCATTTAATGAAAAATTTATTACGAAGAACTTTTATGGACAGCACCCGAGGCTATACGTGGCACAAAAAATTACTCAAAAAATGGCACACAAGCAGCTGACGTCTTCTCCTTTGGCATCATCATGCAGGAGGTCGTCGTGAGAGGTGAACCATACTGTATGCTGTCATTATCACCCGAAGAGATAATTGCTAAAATTACAAAGCCACCGCCATTAATACGGTAAGGATACAAAAAAACTTGTAAAATCAAGTCGCTATTTGACTTTTTCTTTAATTTTTTTCTAAATCGAATTAGACCTTCGGTATCGAAGGGAGCAGCTCCGCCGGAAGCTATAAATATAATGCGTCAGTGTTGGTCGGAAAATCCAGAATTAAGGCCTGACTTTGCAGAGTAAGAGGATTTTTTTATTAAAGATATTTTTGGTGTCGTATGCTCTGTGGTAGAAGTAATGATGATGTGGTTTTAATTTGATAGCTTTGATTTATTAGGGTTGAATTGGACTTTAATGTCAAGGTTGCGTGATGTGTCAAAGTAGACAATTTCACCACAGAACATGCAAAATAAAGCATTTTTAAAAGAATTTAATTAAATTTTGTTTCAATATTTTTTTAATACCCTCCGCCACTTAATAAACATCAATTCCAACCCACGCAGCATCGCAGAAAAATTCAAACTTCTCAATCATGGCAGAAAAGTAAATTTTGTCGATACAATGTTCCAAATGCTCGAAAAATATTCAAACAATTTAGAGGAACTAATTAAAGAACGAACCGAGCAATTAGACATGGAACGCAAAAAGACTGAACAATTACTAAACAGAATGTTGCCAAGGTAAGAATGCGAGAAAATTTGCCAATATTTAATTACAAATTCGATTTTTTATTCCTCCCCTTAGTTCTGTTGCTGAAAAGCTCAAAATGGGACTAGCTGTTGATCCAGAAGAATTTTCCGAAGTAACAATCTACTTTTCAGGTACATTAATGCACATAAATTTCACGACACAAAAAAAAATATCAATGCCTATTTTTAATCCTCTTACGTACAGATATTGTCGGCTTTACCGCAATTGCTGCACATTGTACACCCGTACAGGTTGTTGATCTGTTAAATGATTTATATACGTGCTTCGATGCCACAATTATGAGCTATCCAAATGTTTATAAAGTTGAAACGATAGGCGATGCGTACATGGTTGTTGGTGGCTTGCCTAATCCACGTCCCGATCATGCAGAACAAATTGCTACAATGGCATTAGAGCTGCTTCATCAAAGCGGAAATTTTAAAATTAGACATTTGCCTGGTGTGCCGCTTCAGTTGAGAATTGGTCTTCATACAGGTTCGTTAATCATTCTTTATTTTGGATTTATTAGTGCTTTTTGGCGAGAGATAGAGCTGAGGAGGGCGATATTTATGACTGACTGTCAAAAGACTATTTCTGTGATTTTTAAGCTGATTTACTTGATTTCGAAGAACTTGAATTCTAATTTCAATAGCTGGAATTTTATTGGTACTGTAGATACTTTAAGGATACTAGAATCCACCTCCTTTGGAGCCTAGGATAAACTAAGGTTCTCATACTCTAAAGTTAAGTGTCTACTCTGGTCATAAAAAGAGATAAACCTTAGTATTTTCCATCTAAACCCATGGAACCAGCCCTAGGATCCACAGACAACACGCATAATTCTTTGCATCCATATCCAATGCGCTACTACCACTCACTTCCTCCCCTCAAATCCCTTACTCAACCTCTATCTAGATGCGAAAATAAAAATCCGCTTTCGCAATATTTTTATGACAGCTGCTTCACATCATAAATTTTTCCCATCTTCATTCATTCATTTCTATTTAATTGATGATAGGTCCATGTTGTGCCGGAGTTGTGGGTTTAACAATGCCACGGTACTGCTTATTCGGTGATACTGTTAATACAGCTTCGAGGTAAAACTTTTTTTAATTATTTTCAAGCTAATGATGTTGTATGATGTTGTATGTTGAGATAAAAATATTTAAATTCTCTGCTGTAGGATGGAGTCGTCAGGTTCATCATGGAGAATTCATATGTCAAACACGACGTGTGATAGACTTGAAGAAGCTGGTGGATATATAATTGACTCACGTGGTCCGATAGAGATAAAAGGAAAGGGAAAGATGAAAACTTATTGGCTGTTAGGAAAGAAAGGATTTGATAAGCCGCTGCCTAGTCCACCGCCACTTGGGTAAGTCTATAGGATGCAAACTGAGCTGTGTATGATGGGATTCAAGAATATTGGAGGTTATGTTTAAAAAATTTGAGGTTATGTTTAAAATAATTTGAGGTTATGTTTAAAATAATTTGAGGTTAGGCTAGCAATTTTGTAGGTTAAGTTAGTAAATCAGAATTGCAACCAAGCTGATGACCTCACCTTTTGTATAAATCGCACATACAGCTCGGGATGCAAATTTTCTGCCATGCTGACAAGGCAAAGTTTGATTAATCGAGTTGCTCATATTTTTATGTTACACTTCTCTTCTCACTTACTGTTGCTGTCAAAAAGTGAATCTCATGGGTAAGTTGCCGCATGAAAAACTTTTTCCATTGAATATTTTTTTCATCACCATTTCTTCTTCTCTCTTCCTTTTCATCACTCAAACACATCCTCAACATCAGCTTGGATGAATTACTGAAGCGAAATTCTGAAGTGGCAGCAAAATGTGGTGAACCGGTGAGAATTGGCAATGCAAACAGCCTTACAAGTTCAAATCAATCAAGTCATTCACCTTCGGTGACGGGTGAGTCGCTCGATGTGAAAGTTGAAATAACACCAGCACCACCAACACCGATGAGTGACATTCAAAATTCTTTTTCAATTGAGTCGACGAGCAGCTTAACAATATGTTCTGACATCTCATCAAAGTCTCAAGCAACGTCACCAAATGTTAGGAAATTCTCTGAGATTCCATTAGAGACGGGTGGATTTCTTAATCCAATTGGGAATTTCAATAGAATGAATCCATCTCCTCCGAATACTGCATCCGCAAGACTGTTCAAGAAACTTGAGGAGATGATTGACCTTTCGTTGCCGTACAATCATTATCGTTGCCTAAGTCCGAGTGAAACGAATTTGGCAAATCCGTCAATTGACAAATCGAGCATCGTTAGTCCAATTTCACGACAAAATGATTCAGGAAAGCCAGGCTCAAGTCGACTATTAAGAAGGCAATTTAGTTTAGATAAGGACGATTTATCAGGGTCACATAAAAATCATGGAACTTTAGAGACCATTTCATCATTGGTCGAGTCTACGAAGCAACAGAATTTCACACCAAAATCACAATATCAACCGCTCATATCATCATCAAGTCTCCCAGCATCGTCTGTTGTAATCAATATGCCATGTAACAAATTGCAGAAGCATCAATCAGCTAGTATAGCACAAGATTTAGAGAAAATTGAGGAAATAAATGTTGATGTTCCCACATCGCCCATCAACGGATCATCAAAGACTAGTTCTAACAATAGTAACGATGTTAATAGCTTTAAGAGTTCAAATAATGCGAACAATAATTTAAAGAATCAAAATCCATCGGCATCAATCAATTCGGAACGGAACGATTTCAGTATTAATGTTGAATCATTAGGTTTAAGATAAGTTCATTCGGTTCACTGAATATCTATGCTATAGAACTGCAATGTGAGAAAATCTGCATAGCTTTTGGTTTTGAGTGCATTATTTGAAGGCAGATAGAAGTGAACTTGAACATTTTGGCTTTGTGGTTGACTTTTCATAACCTTAAAAACGATTTTGTGTTTCAGTAAGACTGCAAATCCAATTAGAACTGCATGATTTTTATTCTTGCCACTTTTTTGAACACAAATATGCAGAAAAGAGTTTGAAAATTCATAATTTTCCCGATTAAAACTTAGAATTACTTTTCGAAGTGGAGAAAATTTTGAAAAATATTGTCTTGTTAAATTCAAATGTTAAAAAACCGTTAACTTTTTTGAAGAAAACAAAATTGACAAAAATTAAAGATAACTGAAATTAAACTCAAAAGCCAACCAAAAATGCGCTCTTAACACACAAAACATGCAATTTCTTACTTTATCCGATGGAAAACGATAAGTTAACAATTCAAAATTGCTCTCAAGAGATTCAATCCTGCTGATTATAGTTATTGTTGATGAGAAATCAAAGTAAGATTGAGAGCACGTTTGCACTGATTCAACAAAAAGACATAACTTCAGGTACTCATGAGATTAATTCGTGTAAAAAATTCACCACTTAATGTTTATAATTTTCATCATGTAGACGAATTCTTTTCCTTCTTTTTCGTGCTTGCTTACGGATGTTAAATATTCATTTTGCTCACTTTTGTTTTATAATGTAATGAAAATGCTTATTAGCACAGAATCAAAATTAATTATGTTGGTTATTGTTATCTTTATGATGCAGGAACATTATGATGTGTGTATGACGAAGTTATAATTTGTTTTGCTGAATTAGAGGAAAATGAGATGAAAGTTTTTTTTGAATGGAAGAAAGTTTCATTAAAAGCTTAAAGCGAGCTTAAAGTAGCGAATGAGTTTTGTTGCGTTGAATACGAGAAAATCAGCTTAAAAGTAATTTAATCCTTCCAACTTAATTTCTCTAATTAGATTATTAATTACTTTTAATTAAGCTTCTCGTAATTCCATCAAAGAGGAAATTTAGCACAAAATTAACTAAAAGCACAGTCTTTATCTTAAACAATTCCTATTGTTATGATATCATTCCACTCATTATTTCTTTATACTTATTCAGAATAAAAAAAAATGAATATTTTTCATCAAAATTAAGCACTCGAAAGGAACAAGAAGAAGTAGAACAATTTTGATGTGTATGAAAAATTTAAAAAAAAAGGAACAAACTCACAAAAAGAAAATTTGCTTAAACAAAAAAAAACGAAACATGAGAGAGTGAGAGATTATGATTATGATGATTAATAATGATGATGAATAGCTGCTGTGAATGAGAAGTCTATTCAGAAATGTTATAAAAGGAATAACAAGAAAATGTAGAGAAATGAGAAAAGTTTTATTTTAAAAAAATTTGTGAGAGCTTTAATGATTTTTTAACGATGTATTTTTCACATTCCCACCTTTATTTTACTTCAGAAGATCCTTTAAATTTGTAAAAATTTACATGTAGCTAATGGTGGATGTCTATTGAAGAATTGAGCATAAAAAATTTAAAAAACAAATTCCGAGAAATGAAAGCAGATACTTAATTTTTATTTCTAATTCAATTCTTGCTATTCTAGTCAAAAACACTGAAGGCATATTGATAACAAGTTTGAAAACCCCAAAAATGAAGCTATCGATAGGAAAAAAATAACTAGTAGCATTGAATCAAAAGACATAAAATATTTTTCATACAAAAACAATGATAAGATATAAGTTTGACATGGGATGGGCACTTTTTTGGACTTGACATGATGAATTTTTTGAAAAAAATGTTGTTTAAAATCTGAACTCAAAGCTTAAATAACCTTTTTAATGGAGTCGAATTATAGGTTTGGAGCTGTATTCAGCTGCTATATTTTCCCTTTACCTCCACCTTTTCTTAACCTACAAAGTTTATATGGAAATAAATTTCCTTTGTTTGAGCTGTCACAAAAACCTAGATCTCCCCCCTTAATTTCTGATGTCATAATTGAACGACCCCAGAAACGTAGCCAGAAATTTGAAGAAAGGGGGACAAAATATTTTTTGGATGGAAAAATTTAAGGGGGGGGGGGGGGGTTGATTTTTGTGATTTTTTCATAAAAACCCTAGCAAAATAAAAAAATTTCTGTTTACGTTGGGGATTTGTCCCCAAAATCCCCCACCCTGGCTACGCACCTGAACGACCTTCAACTTCTTCAATAATACCTTAGTGCAGTGGTTGCCAACCTTTTTTGGACTACAGCACAATAGTACTTAACCGTGACTAAAACCGAACATAGAATGCGATTCGTGGGATATTACGAATTTTAAAGTGCCGTGACACATTGCTTATCCATTACTGCCTTAGTGTAAACATCAAGGTTAGAAGTATATGCAGGTATACAAACAAAGGAAGGGTTAATTGTAGTTGTAGGAAAGCTTAGGTTGAAGTTGTAGTTGTAGTCCAGGAAGAAGTGTAGTTATTGGATAAGGCTAGGTATATACCAGAGCTCGAAGTAGACTCGAGATTTTCATTGATTTTGTGTGGCAGAGTTGACTCCGAGTTGACTCGACTCTATACAAAATTTCATCGACTTCGAGCTCTGGTATATACCAAGTCCTCCATGTTCATATAGAATGTATCTCGCCAAATAGATTAAGAGTCAATAGCAAGTTCAAAAAATGTGTCCATCTCCTCATCTATATCATTTCACTCATGAACATTTGATCGTAGAATCTAAAACCTTTTAAAAAACTTTCTAGCTAATTCTGTACAATCAGTATTGATATAAACTTTCTAATGTATTGCACTTAAATTTTTATAAAGCTTTCAAAAAAAAAATTGAACTTAAAATTTTAAATTTTCAAAAAATGTAACGCAATTCATGTTTTGAAGGATTTCCTTAAAAAGTAGTATGCATCATACAATTCTTTACTATTGGCACAAATTTTCTAAACCTTTAAAACTTTTTTAACTATTTAGATTTATTATTTACAAAATGTTTTAACCTTAAAATTTGTGTAGATTCAATACTTTTGATAAAAAATGAAAAAGTTAAGATTTAAAATTATCAAAATTGTAAAACTTAGAATGAGAAATCCCACCTGAAACACATCATAAGAGGTCATTGGAATCAACTAATGCAAAATCCATTATTTCAACAGATTTATCAACAAACTTTTCTACTTTTCTCTTCATATAATTTTTTATCAACACGACAAAAAAAAAATGAATTTATAAGTTTTCCAAGCTTTTCTTTCTTCAACACCTTCTTGAGTTGAAAATGAAAAAGTTTTTCATCCTTCATGCTTTTATTCATTCAACGCTTCATATTCGTATTGTGATGGAAAAAATAATTTTGATAAAAATCACTTTTTGGAATCCTTGAGGTGAATTTTGGGCGGAATTGATCAGTTTTCGAGAGGATCTAAAAAAAACTTTACCTATTCAGATCAATTGTGATCCAAAAGTGCGCTAAGGGCTTTTCACAGCTAATGAGAGTTTAACGAGGATGCGCTAAACCACTGCACACAAACCTTGACCTACATTTTATAGTGGGATTCGAACCACTCCTTTGATGACATTTCTGCCTGTAGCCTACAAAGAAAGGCTGTGAGCTTCATTTTCAGTACACATGATTCGAAAAAGGACAAGTGAAAAATTTCTCATACCCAGTTTCGAACCCATAATCGCTATGTTGTTATTGCAATAATTAGGTACCAAAATACTAAACCATTGCGCTACCGAGCCACTTCAGCTCACTGAGAGGATCTTAAGGGTGTCATATTCATACGTTCCCTAGAAAGGATACCAGCACTTGGAAAGCAAAGAACGTCATAAAGGCTCACAATGTGATTTGAATACAGTGTGGAACCATTTATGATCATTAGATCATTTTAATCAGTTTCGTTTCCTTCCTTGAAACTTCCATTTCAGTTTTTAACCTTAATATCCCCTCTCCCATCCTATGGAAGCTGCTTAAAGTAGAACAATCAAAATTATTTGCCAAAATGTCAACAAAATCTCTTAAAATTCTCCCAAAATTCCCCTTAAGGATTCCAAAAATGTCACACACATTTTTCCCGACAATCACAATAATAATATGAAAGAAAGCAGAAGAAATTTATATATTTTTATCTTCATTTGACACTTGCTCACAGAGAACACACAGAATGAGATGAAGAAGAAAGAAAAAATGTTAATTCTTTCTTTGCTCATTCACACAATCTAATCTAATATAAATCTTTCATCATGTTAATGCATAAATTCTGATTATAAAAGCTGATGAAACGAAAAAAAGAGAGGAAATTAGAAATTTTTGAATAATGTGAAAGCTTTTTAAGGATGAATATGGATTTTTTTTTTGTTTTATCTGAGAATTTTATCTTTTTGACATTTTAGGATATGAGCTTTTTCAAGGGGTTTGAGCTAGGTTTAGGTTAAGTTGTGCGTCAGACTGTCAATTCTAAAGGTAATTAAACCTAACACTGTCTTAGATTGAGAAGAAAACTACCTGGATCTAGCTACACATTCTTCTCATTGGTGTGTGCTGGTATGTTCACTAGTCTTTACCAGAGGTCAGGGGCGTAGCCAGTAATTTAAAGAGGGGACAAAAAAATTTTAAATGGAAAATTCAGAGGGATTTTTATGATTTTTTCATAAAACTCTTAGCAAAATGAAGAAATTTCTGTTAAAGTCGGGGGATTTGTGATTCAAATCCCCTCCTGGTTACGCGCCTGCCAGAGGTGTCAAACCTTTTCTGTGTCACGACACATCTTCTTGGTAAACCATGACAAAACCGCATACAGCATATGGTTTGTGGAATTTTCTGAATTTTTTTGCTTCAAACTAGTGTACTGTGGCACTTGTGTTCGACATTTCTGGTCTATACTTGTATGTTCACTAGTTTGTAATTGTTGGTTCAGACTAGTGCTAGGATGCTCATTAGTCTAGAAATCCCTGAAATCTATTTTTCAAATCAAATGAAAAGAGATCTTAACTCTCCAGCCAGACAAACCACCTTACTCCAACCTAAAAATTCAAAACCCCCAAAAGCGAAATTTCCTCATCTGCCAAAGGCAAGCAAGCAAAGTTAAAGAAAAAGCTATAACAGAATATGATGAAAGAAACGAATGTTATTTAGCACTAAATGTGTGTGTATATGAGCGTTCCTTATCACCATCATGACATTATGATTAAATATTACATAATACTAATAATAAAAATGAAAATAAATGTTTGAATGAACAAAAGTTCACAAAATGTTGATGAAAAATCATTTTCAACTGAAAGAAAGGAGCAAAATCCCTTTTTTTTCGTTCCTTATATAAACTCTAAGTCTGCAGGATCTTGGATATAAGGAGATTTTATTAATATTATTATTATTACTGCCATTATTATGTTTTATCTACCTTTATAACGTCTGTGCATTCACATATTGTATTGTGTATGATTTCGATATGAGTGAAGGTAGGAAGTCAAATAAAATGAGGTAATCAAAAAATGGATGAGTGGAGGAGGATGGAAACTTGGATGAGGAAGTTCTTTTAAGAAATATTGAATTTTAAAGGTTCAAAAAATTATCAAAAAGAGTTCTTATATTTTGGAATAATGTAAAAATTCTAGAATCATTCCAATGCTTGGGTTTGAAACTATTCCTAAGGCCCTACCTAATCCCTTAAACCAGACCTCTTACCACTATGACTACAACTCCTTCTAGGGCCATTGACATCTATAAGTTACTAAATCAAACCAAATTTTTATTAAAAATCTTACAATTCGCCCACATTTCATCAACAAGTTTCCATCCCCAAAACTTCATCATCCTAACAAAAAAAATCACAAAAAAAAGCAAAAACTCTCAAGACAAAGATGTCGACAAAGTTTTAAATTCACTAGTCTATAAAATAAGTAGCAGAAAAAAAAGCGATTTAAAATAAAACAGAAGGTAAAAGTTTATATGTAAAATTAAATTGTATGTAGTATGTAACACGTTTCCCTCATCAAATATATATTTATAACATATAGGAAGTACATTAAGTCACATCGCACGTGTGTTTGTAATCTAAATGTACATAAAGTAGAACAAACAAAAAAAAAGTTAAATTAAATTAGCTCTTACATCATTATTGACTAAAGTAATGTGTTGACGAGATTAAAATGATTTCACTTCCGATTGTAGGACAGAAATTGAAAATAAAAAATTTAATATATTGAAAGTTGTTCACTGTTGACTGTGGTTATATGCATAAGAAAAAAATATATATATGATGATAAAAAATATGATAATTAATGAGAACATTTCTGTGTTTCTGACCGAGTGGCACACAATGATTTATGTTGGATGGGTAAATATTTACTTGGAATTATTGTCAGGGTGGTGAGTTTTGAGGTTATCAATTCTTATGGATGCACTCGTAATGTATTAATGAATCTATGTATACAACTTGTTATCATAGCAAAGCTAGTACCCTAGGTAGGCCATTGGTATGGGTCTTAGGTCGAGTATCTAAAAAACTACTTGCTGAACGATGTTCGAATCCTTTCGAAATCATTCTGTTCCATCAAACAAATGCAACTTACAATATAAAAATTGGTTTTAAATTCACAAAAAAAAATCAATATGTGATCCCCTGAAATTCTTCTCTTCAGACTAAGCAACATGCTTCTTTATTTCTTGAAGTAAGCACATGCAGCTATGTGAAGCTTCAGTCTCAATTCAATTTATCAATGACATACCTCAGAGAAATCAATTTGACAAAATATTGATGATGCTGATTGATTCTTTCCAGAGAGAAGTTAGGGCCGTTCATTTATTATGGAACCCTTCTAGAAGGTGGAGAAGGGTCTAAGATTTTGGGATAGTTTAAAGTAAAGAAACAATTCTAAAAATCTAGTATTTTCTTTACGTAATAAGTGAAAGTCCCTTACAAATTGTTGATGTTTATTTATTGCCACATTTTCGAGAAAGTCGTGACTTTATTTCTCTGAATGGTGGAATTCCCAAAAGTAAAGGTTGGGAGGAGGTAGGAGGTTATATGACTATTGGTAAAACCTTGAGAGATTAAAGAGTTAGAATTATTATTTGGCTCTAAAGAAAGAGTTTTCTGGTTGATGATAAATCTGGTTTTTGAAAAGCAAGGAATCCGAAGGGTCCCTTCATAAATGACATCTAGCATTCAGACAGGAGAGAGGGGGTCGAGAAGAGGGGGGGGGGGGGCTAGAACATGTAAAAATCTCAATTTTGGTTTCCTCCTTTAATACATCGTCTGCATGTCCATCAAGTCATTTTAAAATCTAACGTACTTATCGATCAAAGATGCCAGTCCGAAGTAGTTTAAACTGGTTACTAAGGATGGTCATTTTAGGGTAAATATCCCTCTCGACGGCAAAACTTCTTCAATTACGAAAAAAAGTCTTTAAAAATTCAAAAACCTGACAATATTTGAATTAAGAATTTTCCCGCCAAAATAAATCATTACGCGCCACTTGATACATTTAACCCATTAACCCACTCACATACACGACAGTCACATAACAAAAACCCATTAGCATCCTTCCACAAATCACTCTTCATAACGAGGAAATGAAAATATTTTGTCAGCCACACACACACACACACAATTAAAGAACAGAATAATATTTATTTATTTATTTATTAAATATTCTTGTATGGATGTGTATTTTGTAATCGACAGATGAAAAAAATATTTCGATGAGCTTTATCTTTGCATTTAAAAAATGAACACACAAAACATGAGAAAAAAAAGTTTGTAGAATGTGAAATCAATTTATAATAAAAGTACATAAATCTAGGCATTATATACATACATATATTTATTATATAAATGAAGAAAAAGAATCAAAATGAATTTATACAGTCTATCTTTAGGATGTACACTCAAACACAACACACTCACACATACCAAAAAAAATTGAAATGTTTTGATGATGAAAGCGTTTATTCTAATTATATTTAATGAAAATAAAATGAGAGAAAAATTATTAAAAAAATTTGTTTAGCAAAGAAGGAGATTAAGCAGAAGCTCATCGTGAGAATGGAGGTTCTCAAGTTTATAAGCTGTGGAAATAGGATCCTTTATCTTAAACTTAAGTTATTTGGGTTTGTTAAACTGGCAAACTGTAGGTACGACTGAAGAGCATATCTAGAGTATCTAGGCCTGAGCATGGAGCCAGAGATGAAGTCATTTGTATGTGTATGACGGATAGCATAAGTAAGATACGTACCTCGGGGACTGAATCGCAGAGATCTCAGAATGAGTGGCTGAAAATTGAGGTTGAGAGTTCGATTCCCATCATACCAAACTTGTTTTACATTTTGGACCTTCTTGGATCCCCTAGCTCAACTCATGGTAAAGATAGAGTCTTGTGAAAACCTACCCGAATGGGAAAAGTCTGGTAATCGTTTAGAAATCCAGCTACATGCCGACGTGACTCTGGCATTAACTCTGGGCATACATTGAAACCAGCAACATTCCAGAATCATGCCATCTTGGCACTGGATTTCTATTCGATTAACCGACTTGTGCTATTCGGGAGCTACCCTTTAGGATTTGGGTAAAATAAAATCTTAAAAATTTCAATTCGGAGAATCTCTATTCAACTTACGAGCAAACCTTTAAAAAGTCATTCCAGCCAAGACTTATAATCTTCTTAAAAAATAAAAATAAATTTTAACAAAAAAAGAAATTCACGAGCAAAACAGAAGAAATGAAAAACTTGTGAACAAAAAAAAAGGAGAAAAAAATTGAAATATTTAAAAAAATAAAAAAAAAGAAGAAAAAAATTTTAGAATAAATTTAAATTAAATGTTGATCTTCTATAAATGGAAATAAAAAAAAATTAATTGAGAAACAAAAAAAAACTGTAGACACAAAAAAATTGAATGAAATGTTGAGATAAAAAAATGTTGTTTTGTTTTAATTTTCTCACTTTTATTTTTTCAATTTAGAATTCATTTATTTTACAGCAGTGCTCAAACTTTATATAATTTTTCACTTCTAATAAAGATTCTCAAACTTATTCGATAGAGTTTCTTAAACATTTAAAAGAATGATTTGTACAGGAGGGGAAATATTTCCAGTGATTCTTAAAATTTATGAAATTTAACATTTTAAATATTTTATTTCTTTACAGGGACAGGCACTGAAATGCTTTGAATTATGGTTGGTTAATTACTATACAATTTAAATTTAATTTTATTTTCTAGTTTTTTTTTTGAGAATTTATGAGATAAATTTGAGGTTGGAAATTGCAATGATTTTTTTAAATTTGTTTGGAAATATTTGAAATTAAAAATACTATTTTTTTAAAAAACATTTAAAATAAAAAAATAAAAATTTTAACTTTACAATAATTTCAATTTTTTCTTAAATTTGTCGTTTTCAAACTTTAATTCCTTTTTTAAGAAAAATAATTTGCCATTATAAAAAAAAATTCAAAAATCTTAATTTTCAATTTTTTTAAGTTTGTAGTTTTTTGAATTATTTAATTTTTTGAACTTTAATTGGTTTTCATGGAATTTTTTTTTAAAAAAGAAATTTGCAATTTTAAAAAATCAAAAACATTCAACAGTTTCAATTTTTTGAAAATTTTCAATAATTTCAATTTTTTAAAATTTTCAATAATTTAAAATTTTAACTTTAGTTTATAGATTTCTATATTTTTTTCAATTTTATCTTTAAAAAATTAATTATAAGAAAATTAAATACTTTAAGAATAAAATAAAATCAAAAAAAAATGAATATTAAAATTTGAATCTTTTTAACATTTTATATTTCAAACATCACCAAATCATTTAATTCATCCTCAAAAAAAATTCATTAATATTCCATCCATCAAATTTATCTCATTATAAATTCAACAAATCATGCCATATCAAAAGGTATCCGTAAATTTATGTATATGCACGTATTAATTACAAAGAGGAACTTTACACATTATATTTTAACGCTTAAATCTTACACATTACAGAGATAAGAAAATTGGAGGAAAAATCTTAAATTATAAGCCATTAACATCTTTTTTAACTTTACATAAAGTACGTCTTTAAATACTTTTCGATTAATTTTGCACTAATTATTTTAACTAATGAAAATACATTTATGCCTTAATTATGTGATATGAAAAATATTTTTATAGCAATTCTGGGTTCGGATTTGTTTTTTTGCGAATTCATTTTCAACTTTTTTAATTTTTTTTTTCGAGGTTGGGGTTCTGGAATGTGCTTAATATTTTACAATAAAGATCTTTTAGGAACTATTGGAGGGCTTTACTCGATACTTACTAGTTTGACAAGAATAGAACTGTCTTACTCAGATTTCTAGGGTCGTTCATAAATGACGTTCCTCATTTGGGTACCAATCAGCTAAAGACCCCTTGATTGCTGACTTTTCTGAAATCTTTAAGTACTAACTTGATAAATTTCATGAATTCCACTAACATTCACCAGAACCCCACCCCAAAATCACTTCTTTATCCATAAACAATCCTAATTATTAAGATTCTTCAAGTTTCATTTCTTAAGACGTCGCCATTAATTTTGCCGCCTGAATAACATTATGCTGATGATGATATCCACTCAAGTCAGAATGATGCGCACTGCCATTACTCAATCCAAATGTTCCGCCAAAATATCCATTCTGTATACAATTGCTCATATACTCATAATTGCCACTTATCATACTTGAATTCGTAATGCCGGGTATATTTGATTCAGACTTTATTGAGCCATACGATGGACTTGTTAAGCTATTATTATGCAAATATGAACTGTGCAAGTTATTCTGTGATGCTGATGATATCAATGGAGATGTATATAAATGTGATGAGACTGCTGATGAATTATTATGTGATGATGCAGATGATGATGAGACAACGGGTCCAAGTGATCCATTCGATGATGTCTGTAAGTCATATTTTGATGGAGTGTTGACGTTTGATGATGAGGCAGCAACAGCAGCAGCATGCATATTAGACAGTGGTGATGCCAGTGATGAATATGATGCTTGCGATGAATGATGATGATGATTATGAATGGGTGAAATGTGACTTTTTGGCGTGCTTTGAAGCATTTTGGGGCTACCGGGCATTAAAAGTTTACCATTACCATTTCGGTCTGTAAGGTTTGTTGATTTAAGGTCATCTGGATGATGATGATGATGAAAGTCTTCTTTCTTAACGAGACCTAAAACATCTGGACCGCTTCCAGCCTTTTTTGGCTTCCGTTTTCTTGTCTGAATGCCATCTTTTCGCATTGCAAGTGGGCGATTGATACCATGTAACTTGAAGTACAACCCACATGCATTGCATACTGGCTCTCCTTCATTATTTCTTCTCCACAATGTTGTCGTTCTTGTGCCACAATTTGTGCAACATAATCCTAATCGTCTTGTTGCAGTTTGCTAAAAATAACAATTTTTTTAAAATTAATTCTAACGATCATAAAATATTCAAATTCATATCCTTAAAGGAAAATAATATATTCAAATTTTAAAAAACCGTTACAATCAACCTACCAGTCTTTTACTTGGTTTTATCAATGGACGATTCATGCCATTCATTTTATGATAAAGTCCACACGCATTGCACAAATAGTGACCAGTTCCATCACGTCTCCACAAAGGTGTACTTATTGCGCCACAATTAACGCATTCACGACCTTCACCAAATTGAAAGTCCATTGCACTTTCTGTAATGGATATTATAATATTACATATTGCTTTATTAAGTCTTATATATTTTTTTTCATTCTCGAGATCTTTTTTCGTTCATTGGCGATTAATGACGCCCATTAAAATTCATAAATCAAAAGACAACAACGAGTCAATAAAAATAAAGAAAAAGAATAAAAATCAATCCTCACCCATGCCATATGGCGATGTCCTCTGAAAACCGGATGGATCATAAGCTCGCATGTACATCATGTTTTGTGCATAAAATGGGGAATGTGTTGTACCTGTTTCAATTAAAAAGCCATTAATAAATTGACACATAAATCAAAAAAAAAAAGATTTTAAGTAAGAATAATTACCAAATGCACTTTCAGCAGGCCATCCGTTTTGTGTATTTGGATAATTTCCAGCATGTCCAGCATATTGAGGATGAATAGCACGATTTGATGGCACGTAAACAGGTGCATTTGATGTTGTGTTTGTTGTTTGATGATATGATGCAGTATTTCCAGCTACTGATGTCATCTCAGGATACGATGGCGTGGTATGAAACATGATATGATCGTTAAGGGTTACAGGTGACTAAATACTGAAAATATAAATTAAAGCATTAAATTTTGTGTGAATTTACTCATAAAATTACTCTCGTAAAAAAATTATTAAAAATCGAAATCGTAAAAAAAAGAGTTCAATACACATGAAGGCAGACCAGACGATCAACTTAATCATACATTTATTTTTACATCGCATCCACTGAAATCGATTGAGGGTATTTAGAATACAACGTTGCCATATGCAAATTAGTAATTGAACGAGTAAGAATATCAAGTCAATCTACAAATTTTAAACGTTTTTTTTTGAATTTTAGCGAAACATTTTTAACGGTTCTTTAAAATTTAAATTCAATTTTGGTAGAAAATTTTCCCACCTGAAAATGTTTTTTGCTTTTATTTTGATTATTAAGCATTGATTTTTGTTGAAATTGGTCTCATATTACTAAGAAAAGTGGCAAGAGTTATTATTCAGCTTCTTAGTGTGTGATTATTGTGAATAACATTTAGGAGTATGAAGAAAACTGCAGAATTTTGAGGTTATATAGCTAAAATGTAAATTGTCTTGAATTTACATTCATATTTATTCAATATTACTTTCATAACACTTAAAACAATCCATCCCAAAGTGATCGCATATCCCACATCTCCTCCAAAATATTGTCCAAAATTAAAGAGCATCAGAAAAATTAACATTAACATTCTACATCACAATTTCCTGCAAAAGCAGATGCCTTTCATCTGACTACACAGAGCCGAACTTCATATACAGCAATTCTCTTCAACAATCTTCATCATTTGACCAATTTGACCCATCATCAAATGGAGACTAAATTCATTCTCTGACTGACTGATTAATAACCAACAATTATTTTAATACTTTTTCTTAAATTCGAAGAGCCGTTAAGTTTAATTAATTGCAATTCTTCTTCTCATCCAACTCACGATGACCGCGAGATGTTTTCTGTGCAGCGACATTACATTTTATAATGATATACATTGTAGCGTCATCATCATCATCATCATCTGGTTGTGTATTGATCGCGAATAAAAATTGTATAAAATTATCATAAAATAAACTTCTCAATCAGACTGCTTTTGATGAGCTTGAAAAATTTTTTTTGTGTTTTTGTGATTGAAATATGAAAATTTCCGTTTGGATATAGAAAAAGACTTCAGCTGAACTAAGCAAAAAGTGCTGAATAAGATGAATCTAGCTAAAATTGCTGGATAAGCTGAAATCAGCAAAAAGTGCTGAATAAGCTGAAATTCAGTAAAAGTGCTGAATAAGCTGAATTCAGTAAAAAGTGCTGAATAAGCTGAATTCAGTAAAAAGTGCTGAATAAGCTGAATTCAGTAAAAAGTGCTAAATACTGAATCATCTGAATTCAGCTCAAAATACTAAATCATCTGAATTAAAATACAAATTATTTTCTATTAATTCCCAATTTTTGAATATTTTTTCAATCTTATATATTTTCTCTTTTAACTTCACTCACAATAAATAATCATTAGAAACAAAGTGAAGCACCAAAAATAACACAGGAAAGCCGCTCGTTTGTGCACACACACGAGACATTTTTTTGAATTTTCTTTAAGAACAAAAAAATAAAATAATTTGAAGATGAAGAAGATTAATGAATTTTTAATTGTTCTTTTACCCGCATTTTTCAACACATTCAGCAAATGTGGCACGAAAATGAGTGCATTTCTTTTACTGCATCTCATTATAGTGTTGACGATCTATCAACATCAATTGCTTATTTTAGGTATAAGACTCGTGAATCATTCAACTTATTTTTCGTAATTAATTAGTCTTACTTTTCAAGAACGCATGCGACGATTGCTGAGCATTTGTTAAGTTTGTTTGGAGTGAGTTGTTTGTGGTTTGAGGTGACAACAAGTCAAGGTTTGAGACGGCATGAGTAATTTGGAGAACTTATGGCTGATTTTTGTGGTTTTAGGGTTAGAATACTTCCGTTGAATATTAATTCAAATTTTTTTCTCGCGATTTTTTTTTCTCCACATCGAAAAGTTTTTCTTCAATTAATCTTTGAATTCAAAAGATACACAGTTGAATATACTTAGCTCTTCCTCAAAAAAGTGGCAACAACCAAACACAATCAATGAAAACTCTCAAAACTTAGTGATCAGCAAATATTTATACAAATTCCACGCCTAACCTAACAAAACGACAAAAATACTTTATCATATCTGCAGATGTTGCGTCAGACTTATTTTTACTTCCAAAAAAAATTCACAAATAGACTGGAATGTCAGTTTAAGTACTTAAAATGCTAAGCAACAAGAAAATTTTCAACAAACGAAAAGAAGTCGCTGAACCATTTAGAAATTATGCAAATAACCGCCTCATATCTCATCATTCAAGTAAAAATTTGTAAAAAAATTTCAAGTTCTTCTTCCCATTGCTGTTCATTCTGTTCTTGCTCGTAAAATGGTCGAGAAGAGAAAAAATATAAATTAATAATTTTTATGATATAACATTTTTATTGGGTTTTATATTCTTCATTCTTTCCATTCGCTTCGTACAATCCAAAAAAATCTCCCGTCGCGTTTTTTTTATAAAAACTCGTTGTGTGCTTGGCTTGCTATACAACGTGCATCTTATGTATGATATAGTGTGGCAATAAAAAAATTATTATTAAAAATGGCGATCATCTCTTGAAATATTTTTGATATATGTTCTTAGCCTTTTAAAGCACTTAACCTCATAAATCAAATAAATTTTACTTAAGATGAATATGATTTTTTGGCTGTGATAAGAGGCCTGTAAGGTGGCAAAATTAAATTGAGAAAGAAAATTCTTTCGCACATACGAGAATTGATTTATTACAGATGTAATAAATATTTCTACTATCTGCAGTGTTTCAGTGTGGAATTGGTTTACTCAAAAAAGAGTTATTATTATTATTATTATTATTATTGTTTATTATTCTCTTCTTAACTTTTGCAAAGGTTTAAAGTGGAAATTTAAAAATAGATGCTTATGTAAAATCCATCAATGCCAAGTTGGTCTTGGGATACGAACCCTTGCTTTATTATATCCAATCAAATTATCCACATAAATATTTAAAACTTTCCTAGCGAATTTATCAAATTTCACACTTAATTGTCACTCAAATCTCATCCAGATCAAGACATCCAAAAACTCTATCAACCCCACCAATATCACATTCCTCATTCTAAATCCAAATTATCAACTAAGGAAAAATTCCCTCACATAGTGCGCACCTATAAATAATCAACTTGTCAAGCCTCAACTACAAAATATATCCCGTATATAAAAAAAATTGTACTGACAATAGCACATAATGTTGGTTCTTATTGATAACAAACAATGTCTGTTACTAATTATAATTCCATGAAAACTGACAAGCTAGTAAAAATATTATTTTAAAATCTTTTGTACAAAAAAATTTATATATTTAATACGATAAATGTCAAGTTGAAAATACAACAAATGAGCTTTGTTGTTATTGCTTTTTTTAAAGTTACAGTAAGGTCTGATAAGAATAGCATGTCAATTTCTATTTAAATAACTTTCATTAGTCGGTTATCAGGAGTGACTTGAAAATTGCTATTTTATCGAGAATTGAAAATGAGCTATTGTTTGGATATGAATTAAATGCAAGTAAGGCGCGTGTAATTATAGACTACTTATGCTGATATGGATGTAGAATGATAGTTTGTGAAAGCATGTGGATTTGGGAAATGTAATGGATGAATATCAAAATAATTGAGTATTGAACTAGGAACAGGAATCTGAAAGTAAGAAGGACGGTTCAGAAACTCTGTTTTAAATTGAAAAATTGGTTGTCAATCATTGTGGTAATGACTATTGATTTATAATTTGTAATATTTATTAATGAATTTGCAGGAATTTCCGTACTGTAGAAGATATTCTTGTGGAGTAATTGTTTAGATGCTCAACCAAAGATACGAAAGTACCGAAGGTTCGAATCCTTGTCAATTAAATATTTTCATACAAAAGATCCATTTAACTGATCAGCAGAAACAGTGCATCAGAAAAATGATCCCTTAAAACATTGACATCATTTAAGAACGACCCAAAATTAAAATCACATCCCCAAGCTCACATCAAAATTGACCCACATTCAACATCCATAATTATCATCCTTTAAACAGTTTAAAACTTGATAATCTCCATCATAGTATCGCTATTTAAACTTGATACAATGTCATGACATCATAAGCACATTCACAAGCATCCGTTCTAGATAAAAACGCAAAAAAAATTGGAGCTGTAAAAAAAGTTCCATGCGGGAATAATTTGCACAAGTGACATGCAACGCCACTAGAATCTAATAATATTTATGGTTCGTCATGCACCGCGCTTATTGATGGTAGGGCCAATCAAATCACCCGCATAACATAAAGTGAAAACAATAGATGGAAGTTAAATTGTGCCTATAAAGCCATTAAAAGCTATTTTGTGCCTTCTTTTTCAAATAATCATCATCATTGTATTATAAAATAGGTAGAATGAAGCAATAAAAATTTGTTATATTTTAAAAAGAAATATTCCCGAGTCGGAGAAACTGTGGCCTTTATCGTACAGACATTTTTATGCAACAGTGAGCAGTGACAACTCTTTTAACTTTAATGAGTTTGAATAATGAATAGATTTTTTTTTTTATTCAAAAATGCGAGCGGGTCTGACTTGAACAATGCGAGGTAAACTCAACATGGGCTTCATGATGGACAATTTTTCGGCTTCAAGGACAGGACGAGGAAATTTGCATAAATTTTATTTTTTTGTCATTTGGCATTATTTTTTGTTTGGGGACTGTTTTTATGTGTTTTCAATAAAATTTTAATTTGGGATTTAATTTGAATGAGAATGATGAGATCTTGTGGATGTGATTTGAGCTTTGCAGTGAGTGTCAGCTGGATTTTGTGATGGATTTTTGATATTGTTTGGAGGGTCTTTGGATGAATCTTTCAAATTTATTGCCTGATTATTGAATTTAGAATCTCTTTATGAACATAAAATGCA